ATGAGCAAGGAAAATTATGGAGCATTTCAGACACATACGAAATAGAATAGTATAATGAGCCCTGCTTTATCCTTCATCCAGCTTCAGCAGTTATTAACTCATGGCTGGTCTTGTTTATTTTGTGTAACCCTTACTCTCCCTCGACCCCATATAAGTTTTAGGCAAATTCCAGATGTCATATTATTTCATCCATAAATATTTCTGTATGTATCTAATACAACCATAATAATACCACACCTAAACTTTTTAACAGTAATTCCTTAATGCCATCCAAGTCCACTTGGTGTTCAAATTTCTAATTGTCTCGAATGTCATTTTTAGATTTTTATTTTACAGTTTACTTGAATCAGGATCTGGCAGAGATCCTCCTATTACCTGTTGGGTTTTAAGCAGGGGAATGAATGACATGATCTGACTTATATTTTGAAACTCTCTCTGGCCTCACTGTGAAAAATGGATCGGTGTGGGGGTTGCTAGGAGACTGGAAGTGGAGAAACTAATTAGGAGGCTACTGTGTGTCCAGGAGGTGAGTCGTAATTATCTAGATTAGAGTGATGTAGTGGAGATGGAGAAAAGTGGGTGAATGCGAGATGTAACCTGGGCAGGCCGAGCTTGTTTGTCATGGCTCAGCCAGACTTTTGGGTTCTGCTGGGTTTGTATGTTTGTTTATTTGAAAGTATTGTTCCGAGAGATTTCATTGATTTCAGTATCAACATTTTAAGTTTAGTGAAATCTTAACATTTTTACACAGGTTAAATTACAGCAACTTTATGGAATACTGAGATAGAGGAATATTAATCCCTACTTCTCTTGAATCAATTTATTCAACTTTAATACAGCTTATTTGCCATTATATCATCTTGTTTATATGTGACTACAGTGATAATATTGATAACTTTATATAATAGGAAATTTATAGTTTTTCACTTAAACATGTTATAGTCTCATGTGTATTCTGCTAAAGAATATTCATAGTTTCATAATACTGTATTGAGCAGATTATGTTATAGCCATTCATGTGTTATTGGATGTTGATCTTTTAAAATTATTTTATTTTGAAATTATTCTAAATAATGTTGCAGGAAGTTTTTTTTGCATCTGTATTTTTTCCATTTATTTTTTAAAAATCTGGATTAAGTAATGACTTCTTTGTAGAGATCTTCCTAGAAAAATTTGCTGTCAAATTTTTGTTTGACAAAAATTTGTGTGACAAAAAATGTCACACACTTAGAAACAACATCAATGAAACCTGAAGCCGTAATTGACGAAAACCAAGTACAGGCTTTTATTTTTTTAAAGAGTGTCTCTCTCTCTCTCTCTCTCTCTCTCTCTCTCTATTTATTTGGTTGCGCTGGGTCTCTTAGTTACGGCAGGCAGGTTCCTTAGTTGTGGCACACGGGCTCCTTAGTTGTGGCACGCATGTGGGATCTAGTTCCCTGGGCAGGGATCGAACCTGGGCCCCCTGCACTGGGAGGGCAGAGTCCTAGCCGCTGCGCCACCAAGGAAGTCCCCAAGTACAGGTTTTGTACGTTAAAAGTTGGAATTATGTTTATTCTTGGTTATTGGGCTCAGAATATGTATACTTTGATTTAAGTTTATAGACTTCCTTATTGAAGGGAGACCACATGCATATCTGGTCTTCAGTCTTTATCTTCTCCCATTCATATGGCAATTTGTAATAAAATGAGAGAAATCTCTGCCTTATCATCAGCATGTTGGTTTTACAGAGATTCTTTTCTTTCAGTCAGCTCTGGGAACCAGGAAGCAGCTATAGTTGCCTCTAGAATGTTCCCCTGTGTCCTTATTTACTGATGAAAATAGCTTAAAATTAGGACTCATTTGATAATAGAGAACTCATAATACTGTATATCCTATTGTCTTTTTTTTTTTTTTTTTAATTTTTGGCCGCACCGCATGGCATGCGGGTCCCCAACCAGGTATCGAAGCTGAGCCCCCTGCAGTGGAAGAGTGGAGTCTTAACCACTGAACCGTCAGGGAGTCCCTTTTTTGTTTTTTTGAAATGCTGAAGTGGAACATTTTTATCATTGGCTCAGAATGGTCAGCTTCTTTTATATCTAATGAAGAAATGTCAGACAACCATTAATAATGTTTTTGTTCTTTGGGTCCTTCTTTTAAAATAAACTAGGTTAAAGTAAACAGATGACACTAAACATTTTAAAGGATATGTTCAGAGAAGGGTAAGTTTTAAAGACTACGTTTTAGGTCATTGGTTCACTTATTCTGTTTTATTGCCTTTTAGTCACCGATTGTTTTCATACTTTGTCTTTAAGTCCTTGAAATAGTGTCACTTCAAGTATGCTCTTCTATCATATCTTTAGATTTCAGAAAAGCAATATCCAAATCGATCTTTTTCTTTAAAAAAATGTTCAACTGATTCTTTGGCTGTTGGTACCACAAAATATATTTTTTTAATAAACTATTCTTTAAAGCCTTACTATTCAAATTGCTGTCTGAGTCCAGTGGCATTGGTATCACTTGGGAGCTCATGAGACATGCAGGATCTCAGGCCCCATCTCAGACCTACTGGATATGAATTTGTATCTTAACATGATTCTTAGGCGATTCATATGCACATTAAAAAGCTAATAACGCCAGCCCCAGATTCCTGGTTGGATCCTCCTGTCCAAGGCATCTATGCCCTCAATTCCATCGCTTTGGGAACATTGTTTCCTCTCACTGTCACCATCATCATCATTTACAACATAGCTTAGAGGTTAGGAACAGGAGTTCTGCGTCCAGGAGGGCTGCATTAGAATCCCAGCCATGTTAACTTCCTAGCTGGGTGACCTAAGTTCCCTTATCTGTAAAGTGAGAAAAACAATAGTATATTGACAAATAGGGGAGGTGAGAGGATCAAATACAGGTAAAGAACAAAGTCTAGCGTACAATTCTGTCTGCTTTCATTCTCCTTCCCCTTATCACAAACATTATTTTAGATATCTATTGCAGCATAACAAACCATCCCAGGACTTTGCAGCTTAAAATAATTATTTTATTATTCATATTTCATGATTTTGTGGGTCATGAATTTAGGCAAGGCACAACTGGGCAGTTCTGTTCTATGTGGCATCTACTGAGGTCACTTGATGACTTTCAAGTTTTTAAATTGTTATTTTAATTAAGTTGTATATTCTGGATGTAAATCTTTTCTCAGATATATGATTTGTAAATTTTTTTCCATTTTATGGGTTGTCTTTTCACTTTTTTATGTACCTTTGAAGCACAAATGTTTTTAATTTTTAGGAAGTCCAGTTTATCTTTTTTCTTTTGTTGCTATCTTTTTGGTGTCACATAAGACTTTGCCTAAACCAGGGTCTCTTAGATTCACTCCTTTACTTTCTTGTAAGTATTCTATAGTTTTTGCTGTTACATTTAGGTCTGTGTTCCGTTTGGACTGAATTTTTGTACACGGTGTAAGAAGGAGCACCATTTACTTTTTTAATTGCTAATTTAATCACCTCTTTTAAATCCCCATGTTGCTTATCCTCTGTGGCTTGAGGAACTGTTGTTCACTCACTCGCCATTAAAACTCTGCCTGTGGGTTCTGAGACTATTTCTCACCTGTGTCTTTATCCTTTCCTTCTTGTTCTTAATTTATTCAAGACTTTTTAGTTACATACCAGCTATATGGCAAAATCGGTTTTGGGTGCTGGTTCTGCTCCCTCTTCTCAACTTACATGCTTCTGCTGGCCAGTTTCCTCTCCTCTCCTGGCCCCACCTCTGTGCTGATGACTTCCACATCAGCACCTCCGCCTTCCTCAGTGAGTCTGTCTCCACTTCTGGACTGTGAGTCCAGCTTCCTCAAAGTGAGGACTACATCTGATTAATTTTGTGCCCAGCACAGTGACTGGACATAAAAGATGCTCAGTAAACATTGCATATATATATATATTGTTAAAGCTGTCATTCAGTGGGTTATAAAAGCAGAATGAACTATTTGTATGATTAGTAAAGGTGCTATTTAGAGATTTATAGTTAAAAGATGAATATAATTTAGTGTGTTCAAACAGCATTTCAAATAAAAGATTGGGATTAAAAAGAGTGTAAAGTGGGACTTCCCTGGTGGTCCAGTGGTTAAGACTCTGAGCTCCCCAGGCAGGGGGCCTGGGTTCAATCCCTGGTCAGGGAACTACATCCTGCATGCCTCAACTAAAAGATCCCCCATGCCACAATTAAAAGATTCCCCCATGCTGCAACTAAAGATCCCGCACGCCACAACAAAGATGCCGCATATTGCAACCAAGACCTGGCGCAGCCAAATAAATAAATAAGTTTTTTTTTAAAAAAAAAAGACTGTAAAGTAAGTAGCCATATTAGCAGACGTTTAAATTTGAGCCATTTGGGCATCTTTTCAGGTTATTCACAAACTCAAGGACATGCTGACATTTTCTGAGCCTACTATTATTGTTCTTTGAACCAAGAAGGTGATGTTGATGAAGAGCGTTTCCCATTTGCATGAATACAGATGTGTGAGCGGCTTCTCTCCTTTGACCTGTGTGGCAAATCCTTTGCAGAGTTGCCACCAGTACTTTTTGGGGACAATATCATGAATCACACATTTCTCCAGAAATGAACTGTGCTGCTTTTAGAAGATCCTGTCTGTTTGGGACAATATGTTGACTTGAAACTATCTTGTGGTCAAAATTTTCATATCTAATCTTGTGGTCAAAATTTTCATATCTAATTATATTTCTTCAGTTTGTCAGAGGATATACTAGCTTTGTTATTGTTTTCCTGTTGTCTGCTGAAGAACAGTGGCAAGGACAAAAACTGCCCTTGTTGGTGGAAAGGTGGGCGATGGCTGATCAGCCACGTGCCTCAGAAGCCACAAAGAAGCATCACACGTCATGGCTCTGACTGGTCGGTCAGTCCGGGCATCCTCATGCTGGAGATTGTATTTATCAGGCTGATGTTCTCATTATGAAATGCTACTGGACATTGATTCAAAAACAATACTGTCTTTTGTTCTGATTCTGTAGGAACCTAGAAAGATTGTGCAATGAATGGTGATACTCGGGCCGCAGTGGTGACCTCACCACCCCCGACCACAGCCCCTCACAAAGAGAGGTATTTCGACAGAGTGGATGAGAACAATCCAGAATACTTGCGAGAGAGGAACATGGCACCAGACCTTCGCCAGGACTTCAATATGATGGAGCAAAAAAAGAGGGTGTCCATGATTCTGCAAAGTCCCGTAAGAGAAGCTTTGTCTCTGACCAAGTGTCCTCTTCCTTCTTCCACTACTTCAGCTCTTATGCTCTGTTGTATGTGTCATAGTCCGTTTACCTTAACACAGGAAATCAGTGCCTTGTATATATGTATGGCTGTTAAAGAGTTCAGTTTAGTTCAAGTTATCAGACACACAAATGAAAAATCTTCATTATCATAAAGGATAGGAGGTGTTCATTTCTCCTTTTCACTCTCTCACTGCTTCGCCAGAGAGTCTTTATAACGACCATTTGAAAATTACTCTTGCCTCCAAAACACCTAGCTTGGTGCTGGGCACTTAGTAGGTCTCAGCAACACCTGATTGTTGATTGATTTTACCTTTAGTTGTGTTCGGCATTTGAACCACAGTCACGCCCAACTGTCTTCTGTTTGCATCTTTAGGTAAAGTAGTGCTGTTTTCATAGTTTTTTCATGTTGATGCTGCTGTCTTTATGTGTGCTTCATTCTTTTTATCCTTTTAATCTGTTCTTGTTCTATTTCCTTAATATTTTGGGGTGTCACTTGGCAGATAATTCATTTGAGTTATTTTTTTAAATGTTGATCATCTCTGTCTGCAAGGAACTGGGTACTTAGCATACAAAGCTTATTTGTTTGGTTGTTATTATTATTCATATATTATTCCTCAATAATATAACTTACAGTAAAGTACACAAGTCTTAAGTGTACAGCTTGATGAATTTTGACATATGTATAACACCTGTGTAAATGCCCAGATCAAGTCTCAGACTTTACATTGTAGTCGAAGGAGATAACCAAGGAGCAACAAACAGAAGCACAGTGCAGGGAACAGCTGGATGATTAGATTGAGTGTGACTGGGTAGAACAAACCTCTCTGAGTGAGGAAGATTTGACCTGAACTCTGAATGACAGGAAGGAGCCGGCCATGCAGGGATGGGGGAGAAGCAGACATGAAATTCCCAGGACAGGAATGAGCTTGAAGAGTCCAAGGGCAGCCAGTGTGGTCTGGGCATAGGAAGCGGGAGTGCGGGGTGCGTGAGGTTGGAGAGGGAGGAAGGGGCAGTTGCCTCAGAGGCTGTGTCAGCCCAGCTCAGGGACCGTTGCAGACGGGAACGGCACGCTTCAGTCTTTGAGTAACTCATTCTGGGTTGGTATACAGAGAGCACCGTAGAGGGCAAGAGAGTAAGCTGTCTTTCCAAGCAAGAGGTAGTGGTAGCTTGGGCCAGAGTGGTGGTGGTAGAGGTGGAGAGAGGTAAACTCATTTGTGTTCTGTTTTGAAGGTGGAATAAATAGGACTTGCTGATGGATGGGGAGGAAGAGGTGAGGGAAAAAAAAAAGAATCAGGATAACATCTAGACTTGGCTTGAGCAGTTGTCCTGTGTAAAAGCAACAAGAAACCAAGTGAAAATCACTAAGGATAGAGTGAAGAAGCTAAACTTTCAGTACCGAGTATGTGCCAGGCACTGTGCTGGGGGCACTGGTGATGCCAAGTCCCTACCCACAGGGGTCAAGAACACAGTCAGCATCAAAATGTTACTGACCCACATGCACTGTGGGGTCTGGGAACAGAGAAAGAACCCTAGAGGAAAGACTGGTAAGGCCTGGGCTTTACTGAGTAGAATGTACCCGGCGTTGGTTTTTTGGTTTTAGGAGCGTGGGTCGTTCAACTGCAGTAAGGAGTGGGAAGGCCCACCCTGTGTGCACAGATGCTGACGGTTGGGAGATGTGAGAGGGAACCTGTGGAAGTTTCCTTCAGACTGATTCTCTGTTCTCAGTGGAATAAGAAGTGGAGGCATCTGCTTAGAATGGGCACGGGGAGTGGTGTAGAGAAGGCATGAAGAGTATGCGAGAGAATGGGCAAGAAAAGTCAAGAATGATCCGTGGGTTAATGTCAAGGGTGCACTCAGGTCAGTGGTCATGGATTTACAGTGAGACAGTGCGGTACGGTCTTCGTTCCCCAGCCACTTTCAGCAGCGTGAATAGAAAGGGTGTGAAGAGTTGAACTTAACCTGGGGTTGGGATTTTGCCAGATGAAATGGTAGAGAGTTGAAGTTGTAAGCAAGGGAATGGCTATAGTTTTAAACCAAGGGCCTAAGCTGAATGAGAGAGGTCAGGACACAGGGAAGGTACGGGATGGTGATAAGGTCTTAGGATCAAGACGGACACTAGGAGAGGGTGTTTGGAGAGCACGTGCTTGGCTCCGAGACTGAAGAGGGGCCCAGTTACTAGAAATGAGCAGGTCTCTAGGGCATGACCATGGAAATAGGAGGCCGGGGTGAATTGGATGACACGGTCGTCGGAGGAGAGGCGATCAGGGAGCTGAGAGGGGAGGGTGTGGATATTTAACCATCCGGAGTTAGGACCAAGCAAGCAAGCAGGCAAGGTCATTGGCTGGTGACTGCTGGTTGAGGAAAGAGGCTGGGGTCCAGATGGGTGGCTCCAGGCCTCACTCACTGGTAGTTAAGCGCAGCTCCATACTGTACACATATAGGTCATCTGGAATGCTGTTGATACAGAGGGTCCTTTGTACTGTGGATTTTTTCTTTTTGTGTTTTCCTTACTAAGTTTTAAGTTCCTGATGGCAAAGCCGTTTTCTTCCTATGTGTCCTCAGTGCCTAGAACAGTGTCAGGTGTTGTAAGGTGACTCAGGGTATTTAATCAGTCCCCTACTGTTTAAAATGTAGACTGTTACCTGTTTTCCCTTTTATTGGTAATAATGCTGGAATGAGCATCCTTATGAATAAGTCTTTGAGCACACCTGTGATTAGTTCCTTAGAAAAGATTCCTAGGAATAGGATGCCTGTTCAAATTTTTAAGCTTTTATCTTGTTAAATTACTGTCCAGAAAGAATGTACTTATTTATGCTCCAGGTAGTGATATATGAGAATATCCATTTGCCTTTCCAGCACGGGATGAAAACAAACAGAAAATTAGTCTATGCGATAGTTACCCCTGCCTTCCCAAGGAACAGAAAAGAAACGATATCTCATTGTTTTAATTTGCCTTTTATTAGGCTTTCTGTGAAGAATTGGAATCAATGATACAGGAACAATTTAAGAAGGGGAAGAATCCCACAGGCCTATTGGCATTACAGCAGATTGCAGATTTTATGACCACGAATGTACCGAATGTCTACCCGGCAGCTCCGCAGGGAGGGATGGCTGCCTTAAACATGAGTGAGTAGTTCCTGACTTGGTATACATTCTCTGTCATTTTCCGGGTAAAATTTCCTAATATTTTCCAATGTGAAATAGATGAGCACACACTATGTAATACATAGAATTGAGGTTTTTTTTAAAATTGAGTTTTAGTTGTAGTAAAAGATAGGCCTAAAAATGTCTTGACTATGGAGGGCTCCTTTTTTATGAGCCAGTGAGACTGTTATTTCTCAGGCAGGTAACTTTTTATGTGACTTCTCAGACCCTTTATGAATGAAAAAAAAAACTAATCAGAAATAATGCTTGGGGAGTAGCACATTGATTTTGATTTTGCCTGAACTTATTTCAGTCAAGCCAACATTTCTTTTTTTTTTTTTTTAATAAATTTATTTCATTTAAAATTTTTGGCTGTGTTGGGTCTTCGTTGCTGCACGTGGGCTTTCTCTAGTTGTGGCAAGCAGGGGCTACTCTTGGTTGCGGTGCGTGGGCTTCTCATTACGGTGGTTTCTCTTGTTGCGGAGCACGGGCTCTAGGCGCACGGGCTTCAGTAGTTGTGGCTCACGGTCTCTAGAGCGCAGGCTCAGTAGTTGTGGTGCATGGGCTTAGTTGCTCCGCGGCATGTGGGATCTTCCCGGACCAGGGCTCAAACCCGTGTCCCCTGCATTGGCAGGCGGATTCTTAACCACTGCGCCACCAGGGAAGCCCCAAGCCAACATTTCTTATCCACCATTCCTCACTGCTCTTCACAAATGAATGAGAAACAGAAAAATTCCAAAAGAAAGCTAGAAGAAAAATGTTGGGTGGGTGAATGTGAGCAAAGTTAGTTAGCAGAGTTAGTTGTGCAGAGATGGCGCTTTGCCGTGGCTGTTGAATTTGTAAATGTTAACATGACAAGGTGGAGCCCAGGGTACCTTGAGCATCAGCTAATGTGACCTGCTGTGTACTGTGCCCTGGATCAATCTCTGATGTTTCTAGTTGGATAATCAGCTTCTGACTGACCAACTTAAGGTATTGGTTTGCGTTAGATCACCTGCCATGTGCTATTTACCTGTCTGTTCTCTGGTATTCTTAGAAGTTGATTGACATTCACCTGAGTGATAATATCATTAATGTCCAGAGAGTGTTAAAAATCACATGTAATTTACTAGCTCACACTTCCATCCTGAAGTCGAATGGTAGTCACTAGGTTTTCATGTTTTCACATGGATTCCTATTTATTTATTTATTTAATTTTATTTTTGGCTGCGTTGGGTCTTCGTTGCTGCACGCGGGCTTTCTCTAGTTGCGGCGAGTGGGGGGCTACTCTTTGTTGCGGTGCACAGGCTTCTCATTGCGGTGGCTTCTCTTGTTGCAGAGCACAGGCTGTAGGCGCATGGGCTTCAGTAGTTGTGTTGCGTGGGTTCAGTAGTTGTGGCCCGCGGGCTCTAGAGCGCAGGCTCAGTAGTTGTGGCGCATGGCTTAGTAGCTCCACGGCATGTGGGATCTTCTTGGACCAGGGGTCGAACCCGTGTCCCCTGCATTGGCAGGCGAATTCTTAACCACTGCACCACCAGGGAAGTCCTCACATGGATTCTTAATGGATTCTAGTGATATTTATATGAATTAGATAATAAAGGACAATGTAATATATTTACTCACATATTGTTTTCTAGTCAGAGATAAAGGAAATTTTAATAGTGCCACACCAAAAAAAGAAGGAAGAAAAAAATCTAGTTTTAATTGTATCTAATAGTTTACTTCTCAAATATAAAAAATTTTAATGTGAATTTTAACCTTTGTTGTGGAATATAACATATGTAGATGGCATAGAGCAAAATGATATATAATGTATGAATGGTTTAAGGTGAACGCCTTTATAACCAGCACCCCGGTTAGGAAATAAAGTTTTATCAGTTGCTTGCCCTCTTAAAAGGATTCACCATCTTGACTTGAATGGTATCACTGCCTTGCTTTTCTTTATAGTTTTATCATCCAAATGGTTATACTTAAATATTATGGTTTAGTATTTGTCTTTTTTTACTTACTGTCTCTTCAGCATTTTTAAAGCTACAAGTTGCCCCTCCATCTCTCTTTTTCTCCTCGCACTTTAAAGGAAATGGGTTTTGTTGACCTGTAGAGTTTGCTACAGTCTTGAATTTTGCCGATGCCATCTCCATGGTGCCCATTATGTTCTCTTTTCTTTTGTATTTACAGTAAATTGGTAGCTGGGTCTAGAAGCTTGGCTGTATTTGGATTTTGTTCTTTGGCAAGCTCACTGCATAGGTGGCACTGTGTTCTACCCGCAGGCACATAAGCCTGCTTGTTGCCATTTGTGCTGTAGCAGCCATCATTGCTCCATGCCTAGATCCATTAATTTAACAAAGGTTCCAAGGTGGTGATATTTTAATTTTGTCATTCCTTCTTCTGTATTTACTAGTTAGAATATTTCTGTAAAGAGAAACTTCTCTGGGAAATGGGGCATGGCCAGAAAGGGAGCCGCCTCATTCTCTGTCACTCAACGCATGATTGCAGGGAGGCTGGTGCTAAACCATTCATAGATGACCTGCTTGTTGGTCAGGGTTTCATATGGAGCAGAGCAGCTTCCTTGCTGAGATCTATTGGAAGTCAGCCCTCAACCCACACGCACAAAAAGAAACTTCCTCTCAGCTCTTTTGCTTACCCCGTGGTACAGTTTGTATAAAGGTAACCGTTCAAAATGAGAAGTTGGTTTCCTGTCATCTTCTAAAGTGACCAATTACTATTTCTTTAATATTATTTTGAATGCATAGGTTTTTAAAAAAATTTATTTATTTGATTGTGTCGGGTCTTAGTTGTGGCAGGCAGGCTCCTTAGTTGCAGCTCACAGGCTCCGTAGTTGAGGCTCAAGGGCTCCTGTGGCTCGCCGGCTCCTTAGTTGTGGCACATGGGCTCCATAGTTGTGGCATGCGGGCTCCTTAATTGCAGCTTGTGGGCTCCTTAGTTACGGCTCGCTGGCTTCCTTAGTTTTGTGGCATGAGAACTCTTAGTTGCAGCATGCATGTGGGATCTAGTTCCCGGACCAGGGATCGAACCCAGGTCCCCTGCATTGGGAGCACAAAGTCTTAACCACTGCGCCACCAGGGAGGTCCCTGCAGAGATTTAAATATATTTAATGTGTTTCAAAACATTGCAGTTATCCTTTTTGATACTACTCACATTGTCCCACCTTTGACTAAAGAGAACCTCTCCAAGTTGACTCCTGAGCCTAGTAGTCTTTGACAGCTTCCAGGCCACCTCCTGTAGGAGATGTTCTAGGCTCATCTTGTACGTTTCCTGCCCCAGATCTGGAGTCAGCCATTTCTCTAAGAAACCTTGATTTCTTTTTGTGAGAAATGAAATTTTAGTCTGGGTGCTAGAAATGCTCTTTGCTACTGACTGGTTAGTTATTCTTTTTAGACCTTTTTAGTGGATAGAGCTAGGAAATATAAATTACCTTTTGGAGATTTCCTAAGAATCTGCCTGCCAATGCAGGGGACACGGGTTTGAGCCCTGGTCTGGGAAGATCCCACATGCCGCGGAGCAGCTAAGCCTGTGCACCACAACTACTGAGCCTGCACTCTATAGCCCGCGAGCCATGACTACTGAAGCCCACACAACTAGAGCCCGTGCTCCGCAACAAGAGAAGCCACTACAGTGAGAAGGCCGCGCACTGCAACAAAGAGTAGCCCCTGCTCACTGCAACTAGAGAAAGCCCGCGCACTGCAACTAGAGAAAGCCCGCGCACAGCAACGAAGACCCAATGCAGCCAAAAATAAACAAATAAATTTATTTTTAAAAATTACCTTGTGATTTGTATACTATATTGATAAATTGGAATTGTAAGTATAATTATAAATATATTGGAATTATAATTCCAATTAAAATTCAGGTCTAAGGGGTTTTTACTTAACCTCTTCTATCTAACATTTGTTTTTCTTTCTTCTACAACAAGAATTCTGGTTCTCTAGGACACCAGGAATAACAAAACTAGAATATTACTTAATAACTCATTTGCTTTCTCTCACATACCACACACAGTATCAATCCTATACCAATAATATGTTCTCTCTTCATGTTTTAAAATAGTTATATTCTCTGTTGTCAGAGCATATAACCATTATATGTTATGGTCTTGTTTTTACGTTCATTTTGTGTTACAATTAATAACTTAATTCTGTAATAAATATATATTTAATGCTCACCACCAGTCCTTGTATCAGTGCCCCTTTAGTCAGTGTGGTTGTCTGAAGTTGCTTTTATAGTAGATTTCCCAGAAAACACTTGTGGAAAGGATTTCTTCATTCTTGCGTTGTGGCCTTTATATGTCAATGTTAATTTGGTTTAGTTAGTTTGGGTATAAAATCATTGGCTCACATTTTCCTATTTTGTGTATCTTAAATGCATAATTCATTTTCTTAGAATTTGAAGACAATCTTTCCATATAAGTTACTTGGTTTCTTTTCCTTGATGCTCATAATCTATTTTCCTTTTTCTTTAGAATCCAGAAATTTTACCAGAATATGTTTTGGTGTTTGTCTTTCTGGGCAGTTTTCTCAGATGATGTGCCCTTCCAAACCTTTTTTATTTTCAGAGTGTTTTCTTGAATTGGTTTTTAATATTCATTCTGTTCCCTTGCTTTTGTTTCCTGGTATGTGCATGTTGGATTTTCCTTGTCTGACTTCTTTAACTGTCACGTTTTCTCAAGTCCTTTTTATCACTTTCTTCATTTCTTTATGATTTAAAAAGTTTTTCTCCTCTTTCACCTTTACGCTGTTTTTGGTATTTATTTTTAAAATTATTTTTCATTTATATCTAATTCCTTTTATATTCTAGCCCTCATTTCTGAATTTTTCTAATTAAACATTTTTCTTATCTTTTATTATTAATGCCTTTCTTTATCTTTTATGAAATAATAGGCTATAGTTTTCATTTGTTTTGTGGATATGTCTTGTGTGCTTTTGTTATGTGTAGGAATGTGATTTTGCTCTTTTTTCTTTTAATAATTTATTTTTAAAATTAATTTATTTTTGGCTGCATAGGGTCTTTGTTGCTGCGTGCAGGCTTTCTCTAGTTGTGGAGAGTGGAGGCTACTCTTCATTGTGGTGCATGGTCTTCTCATTGCCGTGACTTCTCTCTTTTTTTTTTTTTGCTGTACACGGGCCTCTCACTGTTGTGGCTTCTCCTGTTGCGGAGCAGAGGCTCCGGACGCGCAGGCTCAGCGGCCATGGCTCACGCGCCCAGCCGCTCTGCGGCATGTGGGATCTTCCCGGACCGGGGCACGAACCCGTGTCCCCTGCATCGGCAGGCGGACTCTCAACCACTGTGCCACCAGGGAAGTCCCCGTGGCTTCTCTTGTTGTGGAGCACGGGCTCTAGGCGCATGGGCTTCAGTAGTTGCGGCGCGTGGGCCCAGTAGTTGTGGCTCGTGGGCTCTAGAGCCTAGGCTCAGTAGTTGTGGCACATGGGCTTAGTTGCTCCACAGAATGTGGGATCTTCCCAGACTAGGGCTTGGACCCGTGTCCCCTGCATCGGCAGGCGGATTCTTAACCACTGTACCACCACGGAAGCCCTCTTTGAATAATTTTTGTGTGGTATTTGATCATGATATTTTTCTGTTCATTTTTACATGAAATTAGTTTTCCTGGAGGAGTCCAGTTCAGGAATCCTGACTCTAGAGCTCCCTCTTCTGTTGTTTTTGTGAAGTGCTAAAAAATATGGCAGCTTATTTCATTCTCCTCCCTTGCTTTTATCTGGGTCTTTTCTCTTTTCTTCTTTTCTTTTCTCTCGTTCCCAGCCCCATATTCCCCTCTCCTCCCCTCCCCTCTTTTTTTTTTTTGTAATAAATTTACTTACTTACTTATTTATTTATTATTTTTGGCTGCGTTGGGTCTTTGTTGCTGCATGCGGGTTTTCTCTAGTTGCGGTGAGCGGGGGCTGCTCTTCGTTGTGGTGCGTGGACTTCTCATTATGGTGACTTCTCTTGTTGCAGAGCACAGGCTCTAGGCACGGAGGCTTCAGTAGTTGTGGCATGCGGGCTCAGTAGTTGTGGCTCGTGGGCTCTAGAGGGCAGGCTCAGTGGTTGTGGTGCATGGGCTTAGTTGCTCCGCTGCATGTGGGATCTTCCCAGACCAGGGCTTGAACCCGTGTCCCCTGCATTGGCAGGTGGATTCTTAACCACTGCGCCACCAGGGGAGCCCCATAATGTATATGTTTAATACTGTAAATTTCCTTCTAAGTTTTGCTTTACTGCATCCTACAAATTTTATTACCTTTCTGTTATTGATTTCTACCTTAATTGTATTAATGTTGGGGAACTTGGTCTTTGTGAACTAGTCTTTGACGTTTTCAAGACTTACCTTATGGCCCATTGTGGGACGATTAATATCTCAACTGTTATTTGATTTACATTTGACAAGAAATATTAAATCTTTGAGTCTTGTTCCTTTTTTCATTTCAGGTCTTGGTATGGTGACTCCTGTGAATGACCTTAGAGGATCTGATTCTATTGCCTATGACAAAGGGGAGAAGTTATTGCGGTGTAAACTGGCAGCGTTTTACCGACTAGCAGATCTCTTTGGATGGTCTCAGCTTATCTACAATCACATCACAGTGAGTATTAAATGGAGTAGTAACTGAATGATAAGTGGAATAGTATGTGTCTGGCACCACCTGTTTTCATTTAGGGGGAGAGGGAATCTGGCTGAGCTGAAGTAAATCTTGGAACACCTTCCTTCTGGTTGCTGACTGCAGAGTATAATAATCTGAGAATTAGCCAGTTTGAATTAAAAATTATGAGAACAGTAGTTCTTTAAAACTCCTTTCTTGCTTGCTAACCTAATAAATGAGTGTTTACCAAATTATAGGCAGTTCCTAAAGTTCTTTTTATGCCTAAAAAATCAAGAATGAAGATGTTTTCTTTCCTACTTGGACCAAAGCCTTCTATCTCTCGTATTTATTTCTTCAGATATTCCAGTTTTAGCCATTTTTCAACATTATCAGGACCTCTAGTTTCTTCAATTCATTCTTTTTTTTTTTTTTAATTTGTTTTTGGCTGCATTGGGTCTTCGTTGCTGTGCTCAGGGTTTCCCTAGTTGCAGCGAGCAGGGGCTACTCTTGGTTGCGGTGTGCATGCTTCTCATTGCAGTGGCTTCCCTTGTTGAGGAGCACAGGCTCTAGGGCGCGTGGGCTTCAGTAGTTGTGGCACACAGGCTCAGTAGTTGTGGCTCAAGGGCTCTAGAGCGCAGGCTCAGTAGTTGTGGCTCGTGGGCTCTAGAGCACAGGCTCATTAGTCGTGGCACACGGGCTTAGTTGCTCTGCAGCATGTGGGATATTCCCGGACCAGGGCTCAAACCTGTGTCCCCTGCATTGGCAGGAGGATTCTTAACCACTGCGCCACCAGGGAAGCCCCTTATTGGATATTTTGAATTATTAATATAGTGTGTGCTTATTGTGGCAAGCGTCCCTTACACAGACGTTGAAAGAAGAAATTATAATCCTGTGAATACTCTTATCCGCCTTGAGATAACCAGACGTTTAAATCGTTCTACCCTTTTCTCCATACTCAACGCACTCAGTACACACAGTACTTAATACACATGTGTAGGTGTTTTTTACTTGTGGACTCATAACCAGCAGTGCTTAGTTCAGCTCCATTCTTTTTTTTTTTTTTTTTTTTAAGTTTTTTTTTGTTTTGGCTGTGAAAGGATCTTAGTTGCTGGATGTGGGCTTCTTAGTTGCGGCAGGCATGCTCTTAGTTGTGGCATGCATGCAGGATCTAGTTCCCTGACCAGGGATTGAACACGGGCCCCCTGCATTGGGCGCACGGAGTCTTACCCAGTGGATCACCAGGGAGGTTCCCAGCTCCATTCTTGACTCCAAGGAATGCTCTTTGATGGTAGTCTGAAGCCCACCTTTGTGACTAGTGCACTGTGCCTCTGGGACGTGGTAGGGATCTTTGCCAGATATACCGAGTTACCCTCCCCTCTGTTCTCCACATTGCCGCTAAAGTGAACCTTTCAAAACGCAGACCTGACCCTGTTGTATCTATGCTGTCGTGCTTGTGGAATGTTACTTCCACCCTAGCACACCTGCTTTATTTCCCCCACAGCAGTTTCCATCATCCATACTGTACGTTTGTTCGTCATCCACATCAGCTCCATGAAAGGAGCCTCCGGCTGTGTCCTGGGAAGAATTCCTGTGCTGGGCACAGAGGAGGCGCACACTGAACTCTTGGCTGAATGATGGAGTGAAGCATCCAGTTGAACTGAAATTCTGCCTTAGTAAAATTATCAAGTGAGACTCCATGGTGCCTTTTGATATTTGGTCAGTGGATCCAGTTAGCCTCCCACAAGAGCTGGCTCTCTTCCTTGTGCCTGCGTGGAAATTGCTGGCCTCTGTGGCTAATTATACTTGACAGAACGTCTGTGTAGATATATATTTTTTAAAATAAATTTATTTATTTATTTTTGGCTGCGTTGGGTCTTCGTTTCTGTGTGAGGGCTTTCTCTAGTTGCGGCGAGCGGGGGCCACTCTTTATCGCAGTGCGCGGGCCTCTCACTATCTCGGCCTCTCTTGTCGCGGAGCACAGGCTCCAGGTGCGCAGGCTCAGTAGTTGTGGCTCACGGGCCCAGTTGCTCCGCGGCATGTGGGATCTTCCCAGACCAGGGCTCGAACCCGTGTCCCGTGCATTGGCAGGCAGATTCTCAACCACTGTGCCACCAGGGAAGCCCCTGTGAAGAGATTTAATGCTAAATGGTTGCCTAAAAATTAGTTCCATGAAAATGTTACATTGCTAAGAGGAAATGTAATCCTTGGCTTAATGCCAGCCTTACATTCTCTGGGGATTTCAAAAGCTGTTTACTACTAGTCCTCTTATGAATGCTATTTAAATAAGTTTGAATTGCTTAAATTGATCATTGTTTTCTCCCTTTAATTATTTGGGACTTGGCAGAATTAAAACATTAGTTAGGGGCTTCCCTGGTGGCGCAGTGGTTGAGAGTCCGCCTGCCGATGCAGGGGACACGGGTTCGTACCCCGGTTCGGGAAGATCCCACATGCTGCGGAACGGCTGGGCCCGTGAGCCATGGCCGCTGAGCCTGCGCGTCCGGAGCCTGTGCTCCGCAATGCGAGAGGCCACAGCGGTGAGAGGCCCGCATACTGCAAAAAAAAAATAAAAAAAAACATTAGTTAGGTGTTTACTTTTCTGTAAGTGATCTGTTTGGGACATAACACAGAGTAAAAAAGAAATTCAAGTTACAAAACATATTTCTTATATCTTGTGAACTAGAGAATCTTTGAGGAAGAAAGTTTTTGTTTTTTTAACTATTTATAGCATCCATATTTTGGTTTCACAGTCTAGGCGTTATCATGTATAGATTTAACAGAAAAGAAATATTAATAGTATCAGTGCAGCCAAAAAGTGCCAACAGGTCATCATGCCCTTTCTTTGAAGGAGGGCAATAGGGATTTTCTGCTAAAGGGATTTAAAAGTGCTAACAGGTGTTAGAGGATTGGAGCTGATTGTCTGAATTACAGCTCTGTCTTAAGATTGCATTGGATTTAGAGAAGCTTTTGAGCGGGGGTGTCAAAAGACAGGATAGCCCAGTTGGCACATGAGCTGGGCTTCCTCTCTTGGTGGCACGTAGCCAATGGCAGGGTCTTTCCGTCCCTAAATGCCTCTGGGTGTCAGTGGAATGCTAGGTTCACCTCCATTCTGGATTCCAAGGAATGCTAACCCTCTGAGGTGGTGGGCTCCAGAGGTGGCAGCGGGTCCACAGTGACTGTGTTCTGAGGACATGATAGGGATCTCTGCCAGAGATAGTGAGTCGGGTGTATTGTGTTTTCGGTGAATGACGTTAGCGCTCATTCCTTGTGCACAGAGAAGGGGCATTACATGTGGGAAGACTCGCAGTTAGACCAGTGCTACGCCATCAGGGACTAGAAAACTTACTTTGAAATGTCCTCTCTTTTTTCAGTCTACATCAGTATTTAGCACTTTCTCCTTTTTGTTTCAGATTCTGAAAATTGTATATTTTAAGCTTTTTCCATTATAATATGTAGATCTGTTAAGCTCACTCTTGGAAATATATGTTAAAGAAAGAGGTCAAAGAAGAAAACATGATGTATAAATATATTTATTATAGCATTATCTGTAATAATAAAAAAATTTGAGTCTTAATATCCATCAGTAGGTGGGAAGTGGCTCAGTTATTCAACATCAGCTTGAGGGAATGTTACATACTATGAAAAATAATTGACAAAGACCATGTGAAACCATGGAAAATAATTATTATAAAAGAGAAAATATAAAATGTATACTGTTTATAGCTATATGAATTATGTGTGTGTGTGTGTGTATATATATATATATATATATATAGACAAAGAAAAAAGTGAGTAAAACTGGCTATGTAGTATTTTTTTAATGTGGGACCTCATAGCATGAGCGTGCTTCTAAAACTTATGTGGAGGAAAAAAGGCCTAGAATAGATAACTCCTGAAGAACTAGGTAAGGAGATATTTTTTCCTATCAAGTGTCAAACTTATAAAGTGATGGTAACTAAAATAGTGTGCTTTGGGGAAAGGCAGAAACAGATAAACCAGTGGGACAGAGCCTAGAACTAGATCTTTATGTACTGAAATCAGATATACAGGGACTTCACTGGTGGTCCAGTGGTTAAGACTCCACGGTTCCAGTTCAGGGGGCCTGAGTTCAGTCTCTGGTCAGGGAACTAGATCCCGCATGCTGCAGTGGAGATCCTGCATGCCTCAACTAAGACCCGGTGCACCCAAATAAATAAATAAATATTAAAAAAAAAAAAAGAAATCAGATATACAAAAGAGTCTGCATTGCAGATCATCAAGGGAAGAATGAAGGACCAGGCTGTAATTGGTGCTGGCACAATTAGATTGAAAAATCAGAATTGGAAAATTGTATTGGATTCTTACCTTATACTGTATAGAGTCACAAAGCAATTCCAATGAATTAAGCATTAAGTGTGAAAGATAATACTTAAAAAATTTTGGGATCTGTATAAGTGAAAATCACTTACCTTTAACCTCTGACTTTAGGAAAGTTGTCTTAAGACACAAAAGCACTTATAAAAGAAAAGATGAATACATTATTTGACTACATTAAAGTAAACAAATTTCTCATCATTAAAAGACACCATAAAGAGAGTGAAAATAAAAGCTTACAACCTAGAAGATTTTGCCTCACGGTTAGCCAACAAGAAATTAGTATCCAGAATAGACGAAGAACTATCAGTAAGCAACCAGTATAAAATGGACAAAAGACAAGGCAGTTTACAGGAATTTCACAGAAGGGGAAATAAGACTGGCTTATAAAAATACGAAATGTACTCAACTCAGTTGTAACTGGGAAATTATAAAGCCACGATGGAATACCATTTCACAGACATCAGATTTTAATTTTTAGGAAAGATGGTTGTAGAAGCACAGAACTATCATATACTACTAGCAGGAGTGTACATTTAATTAGGCCCTTTGGAAAATAATTGGCTTCACCTCCTACTTTGTTACCCTGGAGAAACTTGTACCGTGTACACTAGGAGACAGGTATAAGAATGTTCATAGCATTGTTTTTAATGGCAAAATGAAAACCACGTCCATTGACAGAAGATGGATACATAAATTGTATATTCATCCAATAGGCACTATACAGCAATGAGGATGAATAAATTATTGCCATGTTGTATATCATCTGGAGGAATCTCAGAAATAGTGTTGAGGAAAAAAGTCACCGAAAAATACAGTATGATTGCAATTACATGAAGTTCACAAACAGATAAAAATTAAGCAATATATTGCTTAGGGATGAATATATATAAAGTAAAACTGTAAGGAAAAGAAAGAAAATGCTTAACACATAACTCAGGGATAGTGATTACTTATGGGATATGGGGAGAAAGAAACAGCTTCAGAAATATTAGATTTATTTTGTTTCTGAAGCTGGTTGAAAGGTACATGGACATTTGATTTATTATTTTACTTAAGTTGTACGTATACCTGCTAAATACTTTTTTACATGTATGTTTCAAAATAAAAACTTTTAAAATAAGCAAAAATATCTGACTTGGGACTTCCCTCGTGGCACAGTGGTTAAGAATCTGCCTGCCAGTGCAGGGAACACTGGTTCGATCCCTGATCTGGGAAGATCCCACATGCCACAGAGCAGCTAAGCCCATGCACCACAACTACTGAGCCTGTGCTCTAAGAGCCTGTGAGCCACAGCTGTTGAGCCCGCGTGCCACAACTACTGAGCCTGCGCTCTAAGAGCCTGTGCGCCGCAACTACTGAGGCCCGTGCACTCTAGGATCCATGTGCCGCAACTACTGAGCCTGCGTGCTGCAGTAGCTGAAATCCGCGCACCTAGAGCCCATGCTCTGCAAAAAGAGGAGCCGCTGCAATGAGAAGCCCGCGCACCACAACAAAGAGTAGCTCCCGCTCGCCGCAACTAGAGAAAGCCCACGCGCTGCAACGAAGACCCAGCGCAGCCAAAAAAATAAATAAAATTAAAAATATCTGACATTTAATTTTTCCCTGTTTCCAACCTTATTTTTCTTCATCCCAGCCAATAAATACACAGAGTAATTCCTTGTTTAAGTTTTGTTTTGACCCAGTTTGGGAATTGGGGAATTTGCATAGTTTTGATTTAGATAGTTAGAAAGATCAGCATCTTTTATAAAATAAAAGAACTGACTTCAGGGTTAAAAAACCTGGCTAACTTAAAATTAATGGGAAAATATTTGGGGGAAAGGCCCAAAATTATGGAAAGGCCCAAATATTTCTGGCCCCTCGGTAGTGAAAGTGTGGAGTCCTAACCACTGGACTGCCAGGGAATTCCCAGCATTTTTGAAATAACTAAAAAGGAGTAGAGACCTAGTAGTAGAGATTTATAGAGAATGGATATTGTAGAGATGGCTTTCCTACTACAATTAATAATATTGCAGTAGTGTAATAGTTAAGAGATGCCATTTATTGAAAGCTTTATTGTGAGTACAAGCCCCTTTCATCCCCACTTCATGGGTGAGGAGACCAGGAGCCCAGGGTCCCCAGAGCAACATAGACAGTTCTGGGTTTTAACTCAGGTCTTATATGACTGTGGGTCCACATTCTAGTGTGCTGAGGAAATCCAGTGAGTTTCGCGTGAAGGTGACATGGAGGAGATGGGATAGTTTCAGATGTCCCAGGACTAAACTACAGTTTAGGGTGGAGGTAGACCTCGTTCGGTGTTGCACACCACAGACAGATTTCTGTTCAGTGTAAGAGAGAGTGTTTAATGATTAGGCCTCTCCAGCTTCTGTTTGTTTACTGCTGTACGCTAGCCTCCAGGTGCAGAAGGCCTCCGGGACTATTTGCTGAATGAAGGAACGAGGCTGGCCGTGTGAGGGCATCACTGCACTGTCCAAGCAGACACCCCTCCGCCCCGTGTGTGTTTCTTTTGGGCCACTATAGAAGTCACTGTGCTGGTTAGGAGGTTGGACTAAAACAGCATAAGGCCTTTTCAACAAACATTGAATTCCATCTACCTGACCCTAGTTAGAATTCTTAGCCCAGTAGTAAATGTGTTCCATCCTAATAGCTTTGGGAAGTCTTTTGAGTCTATCCCCAAATCATTATATTGATAAAAATTAGACTAAATTTTTGTGAGGGCAGGACTCCCCCCCACCCCCACCGTACTACATGACTAGCATCTAGCACATATCCATCATATGTGACAAATCTGTATTGTTGAAAGAAAACTATATTGTGGAAGGAAGAAAGATACCAGGGGAGTAAGGATGTGATGTGTAGAGACTTTTGGTCAGGCAGAAAGGAAGAACGCTCTCTTTGTGATTTTTATGATTGTTCGCTATCCTATAGGTTTTGAGTACTTAAAAAAAAAAAAAACATTTTGACTTTTAAAAAGTAAGGTTTGGTTTTCATTATGACACCCTTGAGGAGTGTCACCTTTTTGCACGTGATACTGGCTTGGTAGCCACCAGAAGGTTTTTTTCTTTATAAAGTTAATTATCATGAATGTGACCAAGATGCACTTCATGTACCCAGTAAGTTACTACAACATAATAACAGAAAGCTTTCAGTACCCCTTAGCTTTGCGATAGGCACTGTATTTAAGTGAGACCCTATGTAGCTCAGTTAATGCTCACCAAAAAACTGTGAGTCTGTGGACTGAAAGAGATGCAAATAATTTCAGTAGGATTTTTGAGCTAACTCAGTAATTCTCCACACAGACCAGAGTGAGCTCCGAGCAGGAACACTTCCTCGTTGTACCTTTTGGACTTCTCTACAGTGAAGTGACTGCATCCAGTTTGGTAAGAATGTCCTTCTCTTCTTGGGCATCAAGTATATGTAGGTCATGTTAGGTAATTAAATACTGTCTAATCTCGTTAGACATGTAAAACCCAAGAAAGAGGAAAAACTCTATGTTTTGTGTGATTAACTCAGGGAAAAACTTTAAAAATAAGTTATAAACACTTTAAACTTTGGTTTAAGTAATTTCTAGTTAGGATAACATGAAATCCTCTTGATATTTAAGATTTTGCTTTCTTATTTCAGGTTAAAGTCAATCTACAAGGAGAGGCAGTGGACCGTGGAAGCACTAATCTAGGGGTAAATCAGGCTGGCTTCACGTTACATTCTGCCATTTACGCTGCACGCCCGGACGCGAAGTGCGTTGTGCATGTTCACACACCAGCAGGGGCCGCGGTGAGTGCGCTGCCCTGGTAGAGACTTCAAGTTTAAAGCCGTTCAGTGAGCGGCACTTCACATTTCCTCCAAATTGCCCTCTCTTGTTGCACCAAGTCAACAAACCTCATTTTGTTGGATTAGAAAAATCTTTTTTCCTCACTACATTTGACTTTCTTAAAAGAATATATTTTAAGGGGTCCATTTACTATCTGATTTTGAAAAACATGTAATAAGTCTGAAAATGTTGTAAGACTCAACGATTAGAAAAATCAGTGTTGAAGAGAGGAGTGAGATTTCAGCGTATGGGAGACTGGGAAGTGCAGAATGACAGCAGTGAATTGAGACTCCTTGGTTGAGAAGGGAGGGTGAGGTGAGGTGGTAAGTGGGGGACGCTGGGCTCAGGCAAGGGTTTGTGGGATGCAGGAGACTTGAACCTACTTGACGGTCTGAGGGGAAGGCGCCAGGCCTGTGATGGAGAGGTTGAGGCTGAGAGACACACCGGCCAGCCTCCACAGATGATCCGCCTGGAGTTAGCGAAACCCAGGCTGGATTGTGACTGGGGAGAGTAATACCGGGGAAGGGAGTTCCCTGGTGGTCCAGTGGTTAGGGCTTGGCGCTTTCACTGCCCTGGCCCGGGTTCAGTCCCTGGTTGGGGAACTAAGGTCCCCTCAAGCTGTGTGGTGCAGCCAAAAAATAAAAAAAGAAGGGGGAAGAGGGCACAGACGCTGCAGACTCTCAGGAGACTTGGCTGTTGAGCCCCGAGCTTGCCAGGAGCCTGCCCCATTCTGATCACCAAGCCTGGACCCTGCTGGTGCACACAGGCCACCTGACCAAGCCTCGGACCCCTCAGTATGTATGAAAGTGTACTTTCTGGTTGTTGGCACAGTCATGTGAAAGCGAAGCACTCAAGAACTGTCTAGAATTGTCTTTTTTATCACCAGTTTTATACTTTAATGACTTCCTGGGCTTATTTGTTTGACAGATGACCTCATTGATCTATCTTGATGTTTTAATGTCATAGATCTTGGGTTGTTGGGATGAATGTTGGATCTGGTTTGTTTGTTTTACTTTGAAGATATGGTTCTTGATGTCAGCATCAGTTTTATTAGTTATATCATTCTCCAAATGATGTAATTTTTTCTTAAAAGAATGCATGCTCTTCCAACCCCAAAAATTCCATGCCAAAAAAAAAAAAGAAAAATCCATGCATTTTAAAGAACCATTAGAGGTACCTTTGAGACTATGGTTATCACAAATAGCATGTAATTTGTTTTAAAAATTATCAAAGTACCTTTACTTTATAAGGAAATATCTTCTTATAGAAAGGCTGATATTGTGAAAGGAATTAAATATGGTACTGCCTTCTTTGTGGTATTGTCTTTTTAGATTAACTTTTCTCTAAGAAATTGCTACACTTACATATGTATTATTTAAATCTTTGGGGCCTGTTAGTCTAGGTAGAAGACCTTTAAAATTAGCATATTCTAAAGTCAGTTTGGGAAAGTTAAGGAAATTAAAGGGCTATATGGACACTTAGATTTTTCACTTAAATAAATGTAGAGAATTTATACAGTATAATATCCTAAATCTTTATAAATCTCCTTTTATCTGACTTTCAGGTGTTCCTATCTCACCTACAACCTAAGATGAAAAGTACACAAAACCTTAAAGCTCTTCAGAAACCCCTCTTTGCAATGTTGTGACTCATTCAGAGGAAGCCATTATCTCTCCTTGCAGTAGATCCAGGGCTCATCTTATTAAATCTGAGCTCACTTGGTGTTTACAGTCAGTGTGGGAGAAATCCAGAAATATGTGGAATTTCTTTTGAGACCTTCCTTGACAGTGGTAGCTTTGATTTTTAAAAATAGATTGGTGGTGAGCCCCAGAAGTAAGGTTTATCTTAAATTCATGGGTTCATTCATTTCTGAAAGGAGAACAGAGTAAAATACGTTCCCGCCGTTACGTTTTTGAGGAAAGCATTTGCCGTGTCGTCAGTGTAGCTCCTGATTCGTCTTCGTTGATGGTGCTGCTTGTTCTCTAGGTCTCTGCGATGAAATGTGGCCTCTTGCCAATCTCCCCAGAGGCACTTTCCCTTGGAGAAGTGGCTTATCATGATTATCACGGGATTCTGGTTGATGAGGAAGAAAAAGTTTTAATTCAGAAAAATTTGGGGCCTAAAAGCAAGGTCAGTAGGCATCTAATCTGGTATTTAAATTACAGAGGAAAGAAGAAAAACGTTATCTGTCTTCTTGCCTAGGTCCATAAAGCTTTCCTGTTTCCTCCCTTTAGGTTCTTATTCTCCGGAATCACGGGCTTGTATCCGTTGGAGAGAGTGTTGAGGAGGCCTTCTATTACATCCATAACCTTGTGGTTGCATGTGAGATCCAGGTAGGTGGTGGCCGTTCCGTTTGGTCTGTAGTACACTTAGGTGTTTGTGGGGTTCCCATAGATTTTTGATACTTGTTTTGCAGCAGTGAGTCTGTGAGCGATTTCTTCGCTAAAGATGAGCTCATGGATTTGGAAGATGACCAGGGAGAATGCCGTTTCACTGATTTAAGTTGGCAAATGATTATTGGGCTTTTCATTTCTAACTTTTAATTTTTCAAATACATAAGCCACTGCCATTGATGGAGTACTAGCATATGCCAGCCCTGCTATCAGGGGCTTTATTTATGTTACTACATGTCATTTCACTCGAACTCCACACACTCTTTTTGAAGAGGTGGGTGCAGGGAGTAGAGACGTGCCCACAGTCTCACAGCAGTGGGCTCTGCTTATGCTGAGTCTGCTCGGCCCCTGTGTGCGTTCCTCACTGTCACTCTGGCTTGTGTCTGTGTGGTGATGCAGCCCCCAGTCCCCTTCATATGGCCTTGGGAGGGCTTTGTCTTCCCTTCTAGTATGAGTGCCCAATATTCTTTCATGCTAAAGAAAACCTTCTGAAGATTACCTTGTGATTTGTCTATCGGTGTCTGTCTCACATTTTTTATTCTTATAATGATTTGGTTTCTTTTGAAACCTACATTTCTGTTGAAGTGATCTCTCATGGGCATCTGACCCCCTTGATCAGCAAGGAACTCCAACTGTAGTGTTTGCTTGTTTTGGAAAAGGTTCGAACTCTGGCCAGTGCGGGAGGGCCAGACAATTTAGTCCTCCTGGATCCTGGGAAGTACAAGGCCAAATCCCGTTCCCCCGGGTCCCCGGCAGGGGAGGGCAGCGGATCGCCTCCCAAGTGGCAGATTGGTGAGCAGGAGTTTGAAGCGCTCATGCGGATGCTGGATAATCTGGTAAGAATGTTGCCACCACTTGATGATACAGCGCTCATCCCAACAGCACAAATGTTAGTGTTTTTATAGTGAGTGAAATAGTATTGTGAAATTGCTGTCTTCATGCATTCATTCATCAGAATGCTTTCACCCTCAAGTCATGAAGAAGCACCAGGGCAATTTAACTTCTAAGCTAAACTACGATTGAATATACAGGTGAGGGTTTCTTGTCTCCTTTTATTTTTTAAAGGTAATCTTGTTTGGACTGTGTGGGGTCAGGAGCACAAAGAATGCTCTGCTCTGCTGGATGAGTAACTCCTCGAGTAGCAGGGTCAGCCCTGTACCCGTCATCCCGCAAGCAAGCTGTTGAGGGGACTTTCTAAATCAGTCAGCCGAGTGTCTTGTTTTTGTTTTAACAGTAAATTCTAGCTATTCGGGGCCTGACTGCTGTGTTCCACACACTTTGCTGCCGATTTATTGCGTGGGAGACCCTCTGCTGCTTCCTGCGGGGACGTGGAGCCCAACGTGGTACAGGAGCATGGCTGCGGGGCTTTTAGCATAATAAGAACGTTCTAATAGTACATGGCAGGATGTGGTCTGTTAGGTGGCCGCAGTGAGGGATGTCATCCTTTTGCAAGGATCAGGGAGGAAATTTATGTAGAGGGTGGCACTTGAGAAGGACCTCAAAGAAGAGGTAGAAGTGTGGCAGGCTGAGTTGGGGGAAGGAAAGCATCCGTAGCAGAGGTGAGGGCACGGCTGGAGACATGGCAGCACGACAGGGTCATGTCTTTCAGGTCCATCTCTGATCTCGCCAAGTTCTTTAAATATTCACAACAAGGCACTTAGGGTCGAAGCAATCACATTAAAAGACAAATGACTCTGTGATGGGGCCCTTTTCCTGCTGCAGTGTCATACCTCTTCAGTAGGATTCAAGAGAGTCTCCTACTGCCACGTGATGTTAGGTGCTGGAGAAAAAAAAGACCTGTCGTGGGCATGTGGAACAGAGAAGACACTGGAAGGGCACGTTGCCAGCTTCACATTAAGAAAGTCGCCACAATTGGACCAGGTCACGGGTGGGATGGGTGGCTTCAGGAAGATCTTGGAAGAAAAAGAATTCATGGATCTGATTCAGGGTGTGCTAAGTGTCCTCAGAGGGTTCTTCTCACTGAAATTCTTTGGACTTAGGAGAATGTACATTGCTGGAAAGGGAGAGCTGGGAGTTAACTGCCTGGAAGTGATGGTCACAGGAGTAGATTTGATCAGTGAGGGAGGGGTGAACCTCCCATAACTTCTGCATTCGTTTGCTCAGTAAGTGGGTTGCATTAACTGACCACCTAGTCTTGAGCCTGTAGCCGTGACCAGGACACAGTTCCTGCCCTCAGGGAGCTCATGGCCTAGTCAGGGAAATGGACAAACAAGTCCCGGATGCAGTCCGGCACCTGTGACGTGTGCACTGACGGAGCACGAAGGCAGCTGCAGGGCGGAGGGGGCGCGTGAGCCAGGACTGCTTCCAGGGAAGCAGCCAAGAGGAAGAAAGCCCACTGAGACGCTGAAAGAGGCAGGCCAGGACAGTGCAGTCTCAGGGAGGTCACACCCGGAGAAGGTTTGAGAGTGGGTGGTGGTCGCTCAGGCATCTGTATCCGGAGTCCGATACCCCGAGGGGCCCGGCAAGGTGAGGAACGCTGGGGCGACCCAGGCTTACTGGCCCTTCTTCTGTCCTCTTAGCAAATACTTTGACGTTCACTGCGCTTATACCTAAAAGGCGGGGAGCGGGAGGGAGGAATAAAAATCAGGAACACCAGCCTGCCACATCTTGTGCACTCAGTACATTCTGGAAGGTGGAGAGAGAGAGAATTAAAATTAGTGACTCCAGTTTGATAGGGGAGGAAGATAAAGGATGAAAGATTAATAAGCGAGATGACAGGAAGGGTGTTTTATTCAGTGCGCTTAACGTGCACAGGTTATTTCTGACATTAGAAGGCTGTGTGGTTTATAAGAAGTAAAGTTGGACGGTGGTCACTGATGCTAGTCCCTGTTTTAATTTAACATTCTGATCAACTGTATGTGTTTGCTAATAATTGAGTAGGTAGAGAATAGTTGAGGGTTCTCACACTACAAGGAGTAGGTCATAAAGTCCATGAACATTTCTGACATAGAAAGTCAGAAGAAATGCTAGTTTGTTTTGCGATCAGGATATCATTCCAGCTTCTCAAAGAAGGGATGAATCCATATTTTTAACTGTAAGCCATATAGGAGGTCTGAGGGCTGAGTATTCCTTCTGATTTGGGTTTGGCATTTAAAGGGGAAGAATAAAGAAAAAACCCATACCCCCTCAGAATAAAATTTTGTGATGTCCTGGATGGTTTATTCTGAAGTCATGAAGATTACTCAAGAGTCCCGGCTCTCTCAGCAAGAGGACACTTGAGTTAATAAGAACTGTATTTTTCTGAAGACAGTCTTTATAGCTGAGTGGTTATCTTTTATTATTCTTCAGCAAAGCATGTTCATAAATGGAGAAGTTGCCAGTGCAGACATTTACCTGTCTTCCTGAGGGTAGTTACGAAACAAGAGTAAACAAAACAACAACCAACTCCATTCAGGGGTTATTACCACCCTTTTTTGAATGTATTAAGGGAATGATTGGTAATAAAGGTGGTGACCCCACATAGAGGGCAATCACCCAGAGGGGGGAGAATTCCCGAATTGAGAGGAATGCTTCTACAGTACTTGGCAAGTAGAGCGCCGCCACTGACTCATCCTACGTGACTAGCCCTGTGTAATCCTTTCAAATCTTAATTCTCTTGTCATTCATTGTGAAGCTGCCATAAATGACCTGGTCGAGGTAAGAAACTGTGGGTCAGGAGTCCAGGCACAGCTGAGCTCGGTCCTTGGCTTAGGGTCTCACGAGGCTGCAGTCAGGGTGTTGGCCTGGGCTGGGTTCTCATCAGAAGGCTCTACTGGGGGAGGATCCAATTCCAGACTCCTCACATCATGGGCAGAATTCATGTTCTTACAGCTCAGGAGTCAACGGCAGCTTGCTTCTTCAGAGCCAGCGATGGGCAGAGAGACTTTCTCAAGACGGGTGCTACACTCTGATGTACCATATCCCATCACCTTTGCCCAGTTCTGCTGGTTTGAAGCAGGTCGCTGGTTCCCCTCACACTGCAGGGGAAGGGCTTTACAGGAGGTGGGGGCCTTTGGGGGGCCACTGTAATGTCTCTCCGTCACAGCTTCTGAATGCTCAGCTCTGGAGAGGAAGGATGAGTGAGACATCATCCTTGCCTTGGAGATGCTGTCTGTGGGCTGTTAGCACGCAGGTGGGTCAGCACGGTGGGCTCAGTGCCGTTACAGAGGCGGGAGTTAGTCGGGCAGGCGTTTTAAAGCACAGCAAATGGTCGTGAAACAGGGTTGAAGGTTAATGCAAATATTGTTACGTTCAGAAGTAAAGTAATTTCTCCAGGTACCAGTTGTCATGAGGTGTCCTTGTTTGGTCTTCCTGAAAGATTTTCACTGTGACTTGAACAGGTTAAAAAAAAAATGTTAAGTAGGCTGACTAATATAACTTATAACCAGCAGCAAGTAAACCCTGGTCTTTTAAATTTTAACTTTTTGTTGAGATATATATATATATATATATATATATGTATATGAATAGGAGAGTGTACCTGTTTAAGTGTTCAGTTTATTAATTTTTAAAAACTGAACACACTGTGTAACCAGCACCCATATCAAAAAACAATACCAGCACCTCAGAACCTCGTATCCCCCTTTGAGTCTCTTACCCCATCCCAAGGGTGACTGCTGTGCATCCTTCTAACAGCAAAGATTGGTTTTGCCTCTTTTTCACTTTTTATAAATGGAATCGTACAGTATATTCTTTCACATTTGGTTTCTTTCACTCAATACCATATTTGTGAAGATGCACCCACATTTTGTACTAGTAATATTCTCATTGCTGTGTCATGCTCTGCTATGTGAATATACCACCGTTCATCCATTCTACTGTTGATGGACTTTTGGGTTTTTCTACTTTGGGGCTTTGGGAATAGTGCCGCTGTTAGCATTTTCATACCTGTCTTTTGGTGAACATATTTGCGTTTCTCCTGGGCGTGCATGTACATAGGGTGTGCATATAGTCAGCTTTTGTAGATATTTCCACACAATTTTCCAAAGTGAAACTCTTGTTTTCAGATCTGAAATATTGACTGTGTCTCTCTCTCTGGCCCCTAGGGTTACAGAACTGGCTACCCTTATCGATACCCTGCTCTGAGAGAGAAATCTAAAAAATACAGCGACGTGGAGGTTCCTGCCAGTGTCACAGGTTACCCCTTTGCGAGTGACGGTGATTCGGGCACTTGCTCCCCTCTCAGACACAGTTTTCAGAAGCAGCAACGAGAGAAGACAAGATGGCTGAACTCTGGCCGGGGTGACGATGCTTCTGAGGAAGGGCAGAACGGAAGCAGTCCCAAGTCGAAGACTAAGGTGTGGACGAACATTACACACGATCACGTGAAACCCTTGCTGCAGTCTCTCTCGTCCGGTGTCTGCGTGCCAAGCTGTATTACCAACTGCTTGGTCTGTGCCTACCTTACTGTTCATAGTTAGATGATGTAGAGCACGTCTGGCAGCTGGGGCTTCGGAGGCTTTGGGAACCTGGCCCTTCTGACCCAGGGCTAGGCGAGCCTTCCTCAGTAACCTTCCTTAGCCTGAACCCAGATCCACTTTTGCATCAGATATAATTCAAGTAATACTGTCTGCTTGAAACTGCTTAAGATATGTTGTACCTCTGCAGTAATTCCAGCATTACCTAACTCCGTACACAGCAAAAATGCTACATAACTTACATGGATTAACCTGAAAGTAGGAGCTATCATTCAGTTCAAATTGTATTTGAAGAATCTTTAATACTTCAGGACAAAAAGATGGGCGAAGCGTAACCTCTTACTTTAATGTCGTAAACTCAGCTGTTTCATTAAGTCACTAACTTAAGTCTGTTCTTTAAAGTCTCAGTGTTTTCTTAAGCAGTTTTCCCTCGTGGCTCATGGGCATCTTCTCAGCTGACCCTCGTCCTTTCTCGTTAGCCTCCTTCCCTGTTTGCTGTCCCAAAGCCTCCGAACGCTCTCAGCCAGCTACTTTCTGCATGGACTGTTGCATGTGAGTAGACGGCCATAGTGGAGAGTCTTCTGACTCCTGCTGGGTGTGGCATGACCCAAGTGCAGCCAGGCTATCCGCAGGCACCAGCGACAGGCGCTGAGGCGAGCTTCGTGTCAGGAGTAACGCTGCCCTGAACGCTACTCTGCCGTCTGGTGCTCAGACGTCCCTGGGCAGCGCTAGACCTGGACAGGCCGCTGGCCCTGCATCCCAGTAGGAGAGGCCCTCAGTGGAGCCTCTTGTGAAGAGACGGAGGCTGGGACGCACGTGTCTCTGCATGATTAGTTCCATAGGAGTTGAGGAGAGATCAGCCTAGATGTGCTGAAACAGGACACCAAGTAAGCAAAGCGGGCCTTCCTGTTTCCCTTGTAACAGTGCTTTTGCTTTATAGATTTATTTAAAAGAAATAAGTTCTGTCTTCCCCAGGTGGTTCTGGTGTTTTCCTGATGCACAGTTGTTGAGACAGCCTCTGTGCTCCTAAGGAAACGTGTCACGTGGCAGAGACTCTGCGTGAATATGGCCGGGGTCGGTCGGTGTTTGAGCCCGTCTCCCCTTTCCTGCTCCCTCTCACCCACTTCCTCTCTCTCTCCCTCTGTCCCTTATTTTCTTTTTTCATTTTATTTGTTTAGTTTGTAACTTATTTCACTTGTTAAAGGGAGTGGGCCTAAAAACAACTTCTGCTGACCACATACATATGTAGTGCTGAATTGCTGTGATGAATTTTTCCAAAGTGTATGTGTAGCAGCAGCTTTGAGCCTTATTTACTATTAGCTTGAAAAAAATATTAAATTGCTTTAGGTATTTTAGTCACTGTGTACATTGAAGGGGAGACTTTGTTCAACTTTTAAATTTGTTTCTTACTGTTCTGGAGTAATACGAATTCCATGCGCTGTTTTCAGGTTGGTATATTAATTTATAATAATTATTCTTAAGTTTTCAAACTTGCTCAAGCTTCTGAGGTTGTTGTTTTAATGTTTTAACTAAAAATTATTTTTAATAAGAAGCTGGAGTTATTTCTATCTGAGGAGATAAAGCGTCAGTGAGTATCTCGCAGCTCATGCCCATCCCACGCTGCCTTCACAGCGGCCCAGCATTGGACGGTTTTGCTGCTTTCTTTAAAGTCTCGGTTTATGGCTATCTTATTGCCTCTTGAAAATATTTTGAAAGGCATAACATTTGCTCTCTACGATGGGCTTGTTTTAGTGTTCAGTGCCTACTCATGCCTAAGAATTAGAATTTGATTAAAAATCTCATATTTGATTGGAGGTCCGAAAAAAAAGTACGCATGAAAGGTGCAGCATGCTGATATAATACGCACTGGTGTCTAAAACAGCCTTCCAGGAAGGGTTCATGAGCGCTTTTAAGTTCGTTTGGGACATTTTTGTAACACTCAAAAGTATTAATTATATAAAGTATTTGACATCACCAAACTCTTCCGCAGGTAGCTACTGTGTAAGTCTTCATACAGTAATCTTCTTGGGTTGAAATAGCTACGCAAACAGTACATTCTGGTGCGGTAGTTTATTTTAATGCAAAACTTTGGTGATGCCCACTCTTGCCTCACCGCACAGAGTCTCCCCTCACCTGGACAGCAGCATCACACCGCTTCTCATGACCCTGTCATCTCATGCTTCCAGCCGGCTTTGATGTTGAGGACTCTCGGAGTGGTGAACCAGTGTGCTCTGAAGGGTCCCCCACGGCTTGTCCGAGGGAGTCATGGGGCATAGCTGTGTCGTCAGCCCGTGTCGCGCCCTAGATGTCAGCTGGGCACTCTGGCTGGCACTTGCCAGTCAGTCACAGCTCTGGCTTCCAGCATTACTGGTTTCCAGCCACTGCAGTGACCCAGGCGGTGTGGTCATTGGTTCACTCTCTGTGAAGTTCGGTGCATGACCAGATGTGAGAGGAGTTGGACAGACTGGATGCTGTGGTGTCACTTACTGTCGTCACGATTCTGACTTTTCAACTGTCCTTGCTATTACAGTGGACTAAAGAGGATGGACATAGGACTCCCGCCTCTGCCGTCCCAAACCTGTTCGTCCCACTGAACACCAACCCAAAAGAGGTCCAGGAGATGAGGAACAAGGTGTGCACCGACTGCCACCAGCAATCAGTGGAAGCTGACGTGCGTGCGGGAGGAGGCAGCCCTGGGTGGGGCAGGAGGCCTGCGGCTGCAGGGGGAGAGGGTGTAGCTCCAGGAGGACCTCTGCTGCCACCACGTGACTGCCGAGGTCCTCCCTTCACACTGCTTTGCTGCCGTGCTGACGAGGTGCAGTGGCAGTGCGTGAGCAGCAGACGCTTTGGCCCCCGTTGTTGAGCCAGCACCTGCTCACGTAGCAGGGCAGAAAGAACAGCCTTTGCCCCCTGCCTTGCAGGGTTCGTTTGAAGAGTTAGAACGTTTGGTATATTGGAACATGAGATCCACCAGTGTTCACAATGTCACTAAAAGATGGGCACACAGGGGTGCCTCCCCTCAAGTTAGTGAGTTCAGTGAGGTCTGTGCCTGCCGAAGTCGTCTGGAAGGGGCCCTCCATCTCCTCAGACCCATGAATTACTAATCGGGCTGGACCAGCACCGTTAAGCGGGCACGGTGGTCACGCAGGACCCACTGGGGTGCAGGGCAGAACAGAATAGCAGCTTGTGCTGGGGGCCCAAGCGCACAAACGGTGACTTTCAGCCACAGCGAGGTTTCTCTGTACTGTTGATGTGTGTTTCCCTTCTTGCCATCCTCAGATTCGAGAGCAGAACCTACAGGACATTAAGACTGCGGGCCCCCAGTCCCAGGTGTTGTGTGGTGTAGTGATGGACAGGAGCCTCGTCCAGGTGAGAGCTCAGAATGTCTCTGACGGTAGTGGGTGGTGGCTCTAATGACTGCCTGCTCCAAAATTATTCTTAAGTTGGGAGAGAATGACTATGAGGTAAGTGTCCTAGGCAACCAGTTTTCTTTGTTCAAAGTCTTCATGATAAGAAGTAACCCAGCCACTTTTCCTTGAGTGGTAGACCAAGCATAAGCATGCCCAGGGCCGTGTCCCCCTCCAGCCCAGCTCCACATCGTGCATGCCTGGCTCAGGGCCTGGGTTCGCCCGGTGTTAGCGGTGAACTGTGTACAACGCTGGAAGAGGGTGGGTGTCGTGGACTTTGGTTCTTGTATAGATTGCTGTCCACAACAAAGTGCTGCTTGGGGAAAAGTGCAGAGGGTTTCTGTAAATGTGGTCCACATTTACACGCATTTCTGTAAAAGGATTGTACCTCATGGCACATTGAAGATAATTGTGTAAGTAGTTATCTCTGAAAATGAAGTTGCCACCGAATGTTCTAAACATGACTCACCGGGGTTGGTGATTGTTGTTGCATTTTCTGACGTTGGCCAGCTGTGGTCCTGGTTCTGTGGCCCGTGTTTGCACGTTGCACCGCCATCACCGCTGCATTGCTGTGGACGGCTGTCCCGCTGCATGCTCTCAGCTGCCTCCATCCTGTGCTCTCGTTGATGTTCCACAGCCGGGCCTGGTGGGCTCTGACGACTCAGTTTACTGTTGCAGGACGCGCCCCTCTCTGACTGTACGGAAACAATCGAAGGGCTCGAGCGTACAGAGCAGACCTTTAGTCCCGCTAAGTCTGTCTCTTTTAGAAAGGTACTCACCGCCCCGTCCTCAGCTACCTGTCGGCACACCCTGCTCTTTACCCGCCCCGCCCCTCACCCGTAGCTCTCGCTAGGTATTGTCTTAGGTACCGCAGGAGCTTTAAACGGATCTCTCAGTTATTTGTGAGATCGTCCAAAAGGCTCTGTTCTGCTTCTTTAAATACAGCATTTTGTATGAGGTTATTTTTACAATTTTTAGCATTTTTACGTTGTGCTGAGAAATGGCTGATCTTAGGGATGTTTCTGAAGTTCTGCATGTGACTTTGGTTGGTGCATGCTTTGGGGATTGAGGAGCTTGCCTCTTCCAAGGTGCCAACTGCAGAAGGCTCACGGGTGGGCCGCGAGCGTGTCAGCTCCCCCGCGAGACCTTCCGCCTTCGCTTCTCAGCTGTGACCGCGGGTGCAATGAGCGTGGCAGTCAGAGGCTGTAGAATCGAAAGACGTCGTTTCAGAGGGATGGGAAATGAAACAGGACAGTCTTTGCCAGCCCTTGTTGAGGAAATGTATTTTTACCTCAAAAAAATAGAAAATAAAAAAAACCTAGATTGTTTTAAATGTTGCAAGGGGGAAGAAATACTTATGAAAATTTGAAACCCAGAATTGTAATTTCTCTGTGTACGTGGGTGCCTGACATGTACAGTAGGTGGAAAATGTATCTGGTGTAACTTGCCCAGGTGGAAGGAAACCCTCTACACACTCAGGCTGCTGGTGTGCAGAGCCAGGGTGGCTGACCACGTGGCTGAGTGTCTTAGTGGTGTGTACCCTGTGTTCAAAGGGAATTTTCAGGGTCTCTTTCGATTAATACACACCCAGTGAGAGGCAAATATCATTTTATCAATGTTCCCATTGCCAGAGAAATCAGATTTGCACTAATGATCCTATATTCCTGTCTGGAAGCCCTGCTGATAAAATTTTCTTGCACATTTATATATTAATTCAATGGGCCCCATTTTTCCTTGTCCTTAGAGTGTACTTCCAGCTGCCATTCTTAGAGGAACTGCTCAGAGCAGGGGAGAAAGATGGCTTCTTACCCCTGGTGCTTGTTTCTCATGTTGCTGCTTTGGACCAGAAGCTGTTGTGATCTTGTTAGTTCATAATTCTTTCTCTCAGATGCGTCCAAGTGTGTTGAGTCCATGACCCCAGGGTGCTTACTGTGAAAGCCCCAAACCACCTCCAGCTTTGTGGGCTTGAGCCAAATTCCTAGTCATTGCTGTGCAGTCTCTCCGGCATTACACTGCACTTGGTGGTTTCTGTGTGCTGCTGTGAGGGCTGTCTGCAGGGTGGGCCGGGGAGCTGCACTGGAGGGAGCTCTCGTGGCTCCAGTTACAGTCTGGCTCTCGCTCTGCCGAGTGGTGTTCGGATTTGGGGGCGCGTCACAGTCACCTGCGACCGCTTCCCGAAGTGGTGTACGTAGGGCCCCCCTCACGCCTGGCTGGGAAGTTGAGAGTCTGTGGGAGTGAGACTCGTGGAGATTGAGGCGTCCTCCCCGCAGCAGATCTGAGCAGCGTGCCGCTGTGAGTGCCGTGTCCGGTGCGGTTAGCCGAGGAGACTGCTCCCAGCTGGGGGGATGTCGACATCCCCGGACACAGGCTTCTGTCCCTGGTTTTCCTCCGCCATCCTCCGGGCGCTCGCGTTCGCAGCCTTGGTCTTCTTCCCGCGGCAGGTGTCTCCCTCCAGCGGTGAGAGTGTGCTTTGACTCCACCAGCGTCCTGGACTGGGTCTGTGTCCACATCCTTTCGTGTGGACCTCAAGATGCAGATGGCATTACTCCTGGAAGATGGCACTGCTTGCTGGCAAGTTGAGTTCTAACTTGACCAGGGAAGGACTGGGGTTGTTAATGTTCTAAACGCGTCCTCTTCCCGGTAAGGCAAGTGTATGGATACTTGCTGCCCGTTTGAGAACTTGAGGAACAGGTGTTTGGGACTCGGGAAGCTGGGGCTTTTCTGGAAGGACTTGGCTTTGCCTCCATCTCTCCCTCATGATGATAGCTGTTCACACAGGGCAGGGGGTGTCTTCTGACGGAGGAGGGGCGGTGCGTCGCCAGCCACACCCCGACACTCCGGTTCTGAAAGGAACGCTGAGCCCTGCTGCAGGCGCGCTTGGCTCCAGTGCCGCACATGCCAGCATGCAGCCCTCTGGACCTCATCACGACTGAATCGAGTCGTTAGAGACCAGGGTGGGAAAGTCTACGCCGAAAGTTGTCCAGCGCGGGGAACAACTCTTGTGCGATTTGTGTAGCGTAAGCTTCCCTGTTGGTGCGTGTGCCTGCAGCCGCCTGCCGCATGGTAGAAATGCAAGGAGGCCTGCGGCCCAGCTTGTGGACTCGCCCGGTGCACTTGGTGTTGAGCACCTAGTGTGTGTGTGGCCCGGCACCTGGAGTGTAAATTCAAACCTGAGTAGGTTTTACAGGTGAAAACCTGATGCTCAGAGAGGTCAGGGCACTAGACCAGGTTTGCACAGCTTCGGAGCTGGAGTTGTTATCCCACACAGGTGGTGTCAGTCGGGGCAGACGTAGTTGCTGGGCGCCTGTCCTGCTTAGAGCCCGTGGTGGTGGCTCCAAGTGACGGCAGCAGCGAGAGTCTCTGCGGGGCCTGCTGGCAGGAGCAGCCGCTGCGCGTCCTGGTTTCTCGGCCTCGGTTGCTCCACAGCGGGCCTGCGTCCCTCTGCATCTCAAGCGTATCTGTGTCTCCTTCCCTCCAGAATAACAGGGTCCCTGTGTCCCTGTATCTGTTAAGAGCTGGTCTGGAAGGCAGCTTGGCCCTCGGCTGAGGAATTTGGAGGAGGGAGCTCCCTGCTGGTGGGGGCAGGAGCCGGCCATGCTGCACCTCGAGGGCCAGGTGTTCCAGACAGAAAGGACCTTGCTTGACCACAGGGCATCTCCGTGGCAGTTGACTGAACATTTGATTTAAGTGATGTAAACATTTCTCTGAAAGCTCGAATCTCCATCTCATTTTACTGGCGGTGATACCAGGATGCAGACGCAGTTCCCTAGTTGCCGTAGATCCTAGAATGTTAGTGCTCAGCACGTCTTAGCTGTGGTCAGCCCGGCAGGCCCCTCTTGAGGCCTGTAAAACAGGCCCGTGGACAGGAAGGGGCTTGTCTTAGGCCACAGAGCTAACTCGTGGCAGACGAGGATCCGATCCCTGTCTGGGGAGGCTGGGCTACTTCTGAAGGAAAAGCCCGCTCAGAAGGAGCCCCCTACCCATCTAGGCAGCTGATTTCCGATCTCGAGGCTCTCTGAGCACAGCCTGCGGATTTCAGCCTTTTCCTTCTCTCCCCTGGGGTCCGTGTCGCTGGACAGTGACTGCTCAGCCCAGGTTCCCAGGGGAGCAGTTGGCCGGTGGGCTGAATTTTCCTGGGACTCGGCCTGGCCCTGTCTCTCGTGCACGTCGCTGGCACGCCCTCTCCCTCTGGGGTTCGCCCACCGAGGAGAGCGCTGCCGGGCCAGGCCTGGCATCGAAACGATTGTGGGTTCTCCCGTTTTCACTGGCTTTCAGAAGTTCTCATTAAGTAATGGGCACGTGCTTGGGTTCTGGTTAACTTTCTCAAAACTGAGCCCCAGAGCGTGTGGGGGCCAAGCTGGCGAGCTGCGGGGCACCGAGCTGTGCTGGGCAGGCGAGGGTGGGCGGGCGTAGCGCCCAAGGGCTGCCCGCTGCTCCCTGCCTGTGCGGCCTGGCTGCGTTGGCCTCCTCCTCGAGGGCCGGGCCACCTGTGTGCTTCGCTTTGCTTAAGCTTTCTTTTTTCTTTTGTATAAAGTCTTACACTTTTCCAAATTCCTCAGACAAGCGCTGGTGTTTTGTGACATTCTGTTATCTCTTAATGTTTTGGGGTAAGTTACAGGATCTAGCTACAAATCAAATGCACAGTCAAAAGGACAGAACTTTTCTGTGCTCTTAGAGCATGAGCACATTTCCGAGCACACCCATCTGAGTGTTGTGGTCATGACGTTTTCTGATTTGGGAGGAGGGTAATCGACTTTAAAAGTCCCCTTTTCCATCCATCCCTGTCTGTCTGTGAGGGGATGGGCCTCTCCCTGGGGTGCTCTACACACTTGATCTGCACGTTGGTGCCTTTGCTTCTGAAATCTGAAGGACTTTCCTAGGAGTCTCTCGCCAGCTGCATGTGTTTCTCAGTCTTCTACTGCTGAAGGCTGCCGCTCAGCCTAAGCCTCAGGGCCTCTCAGGGATGTGTGTGCGCCCCGCCCCACCCTTGCCCGGGAGGAGGGACAGTCCTGGAGCGGCAGGGCTCTTGTAGACCAGCCGTCCCTTTCTGTCCGCAGGGCGAGCTGGTGACAGCCTCCAAGGCCATCATTGAGAAGGAGTACCAGCCCCATGTCATCGTGAGCACCACGGGCCCCAACCCCTTCAGCACGCTCACCGACCGCGAGCTGGACGACTACCGCAGAGCGGTGGAGCGCAAGCACAGGGGCCCCGAAGGTGAGCAGCCCCGTGGGTCCTGGGTGCAGGAGGAGGCAGGAGGACGTGCTCCGCGGGCTCCTCTGTCCTGGGCCGACTGTAGGTGGCCATGGAAGATAAGCGCAGCATGCCATTCCGTGCGCATTCTGCTCTGCTCCCGGAGAGAGCGGGATAGAGCAGCAGTCTGTTCCCAAGAACAAGACTGCGTGTGGCGGAGGCCGGCCCGGGTCTGTGACCTGCGCCCCTGCACGCGGTCTCCTCCCACCTTCATCTCAGCTGAAGTCACGGCTTGGAGTTTTCTGACGGACTTCTCTTTTTCTCCGTAAGCCCGAGAGCTCCCTGGCTGGGCGTGGTCACAGGCCCAGGGACCAGCGAGACCCTGTGAAGGGTGTGGCCAATGCTGGTGCAGCCTTTGTTTCTCTTGGTAGCTCACTGACATAGGAGGTCATATTTTTGCAAAACATGTTGGGACTATTTTACAACAAAGGAAAATAAATGGCTCTGAGAGCCAGAACCTCTTGGAGCAGCTTGTTTCAAACTTCAGGTTTTTTGGGTTTTTTTTAACACCTTTATTGGGGTATAATTGCTTTACAATGGTGTAAACTTCAGGTTTTTAAAAGCACATCCAGACATTTTGAGAACTAAGAGAGAAGCCAGCCTCCCACTGCCTCTGACACGAAGGCTCAGTGGGTCTGAATCACTGTCCCTGAGTGCCCTGGGTTGGTTACCACGAAGACCCTGGGGCACGACGTCCCCTCCAGGAAGTTCATGCTGCTGTCCCCGGGACCTTAGTATGGACCACGCTTCTTCCTCTTGGGAGCAGCCCTCCTGGAATGGAAATCCCACAGTTACCCTCCAGGTCGATGGGGGACCATCCTGGGAACTATTCCTGCTTCAAACGCAACCTCTGATTTGCCCCAATTTAACTTTTTTTTTTTTTTAGTCTTGTTTTAGACCAATTACATAATGCATCACATAGCTGCTATTGGAATTTGAGTTGTGCAAAAAAACTGCTGCTGAATTGTTTTTCAGTGTGTTACACCATCACTGCCTGTCACTTGGTTATATATGCATTAAAATTAAGGCTTGCTGCACATAGATTCAGGGTGAGCCTGATCTTCTGGTCACAGCACTAATTCTGATCATCTCCTGAGCGGTCCGTGCAGCCCTGCAGAAAGCTCTGTCTGAGCTGTGGCCATAATTACTTGCCTTAGAGTAAGAACTGGTGTGTGGGCCTGAGCTATTCGTCCTGTAGCCTAATCCCAGTTCCTGGGCACATATATGTGTGTCTTCCCTTTGGACTCAGACCCTTCCAGTGTCTGGGAAACCTGGATTTTTATTTTATTTTTTGAGTTAAACCACAAGATACAAATATTTCCTCTATATGTGAGGCTCCATGAGGAGTGATGTCACAGCAAGTGAGTGGATGTGGATGGGGACAGCTGTGATCATGCTGTGCGATCACAGAGCTGTCAGCAGTGGGAGTGGCAGCCAGGGGCCACTGCCAGGAAAGCCCTGCCCAGCACTGGTGCTGGCTCTGGGCACGGCATGGGGGCGGGCAGTGTGTGCCGCAGTGATCGCAGGCTGTCAGAGGCAGCACCTCAGGCACGATGAAGAAAGCCCCTGGCCTTTGGCTGCTTTTCCTGGCTGAAGGCATTTGTTCACTCAGGCAGGAGGTGTGAATGCCTCTGTTTAGAGACACCTGGCTTCAGGAAGGGAGCTGCAGGCTCGGGGGACTTGGGGAGGCAAGTTGGTCCAAAGCTATTAACATGAAAAGTTTCAATGAGAGAAGGAGATTTAAGGCATTAAGATACTTATACTGATATATATTTTTCCCTAAATGAGAGGTGGACTTGGAATTTTCTGGATCCTGAGTCCTACCTAGTTCTTGTAATTTTTCTTCTGGTCCTTAGCATACTTTACTATAGAAAATAAAAATACGTGTTACAACTGCCAAGTTTAAATTATTGGTAGAAAATGCTCTAAATAACAAATTAAAACCAAGGTCACACTCCTGTAATGTTGCCTGAGGTGGCAAGTAGGGCGAGGGTGCTTGGGACCCTGGGCTCTTGCCCAGCAGTGGGAGAGGCAGGATGGTGAGGACATGGGGAGGGGCCCCTCACTAGAGGACAGGAGAGGACAGGCGGGGGATCACGGCTCACAGCCCGCCACAGAGGCAGCTCTGGCAGAGTCTCAAACCGAGATCCACAGCCCAGTCAGGAGTGGCTTCCTTTGTCCTCTTGGGTAGGAATGGGGAAAAGGTTGAGGCCAGCGGCTGCGAGCCCTTCCCTTCTTGGGCTCTTGCTTGCGGCCTGAGCAGCGCCCCCGCCCCCCCGCCCTCCCCGAGGCAGCCCGATGGGCAGGGCGGGAGGGCCCGTCCGCCCGGGAGGGGGCGAGGGGAGGCCCGCCGTGTCCAAAGGCCTTCACCGTGCTTTTTCCACCCTCTGTGCACCTGCAGAGAATCTGGACGAGACTAGAGAAGACAAAGAAGAGAGCCCTCCAGAGCCCCCTGCTGCCCCCCACACTCCCCCGAGCGCCCCCATCAAGCTGGAGGAAGGTGAGCCCTGGGGTGGAGGTGGCTGTGCGGCTGCCCCGTGTGGGAGGGTGGTGCACGGCCGCCAGGGGCGGCATCGCCAGGAGGGGCCGAACTTCATGGCTTTGTGTAAGAAAAGCAGCTGAGTGCGGCAGTAGTTGAACTGACACTTAACAGCCGAGTGTGTTTGCATGGAAACCAGTACATCATCCACTCTGAGCTTGCCCAGCCTCCTCCGCTCCCGTGTTGGTTCTGTCCGGGGTAACTCGAGGCAACACAGATTCGTTAGCGTGACGTCACAGCTGGGAGGACAGTCGTTGGGGATCGGAACCTGCCTTCATTCACGATGTCAGTTTTGCCCACTGCTTGCACGTTTCCTAAACCTTCCTGTGCTCGGATCAGCCCCGGAAACGTCCTCTGTTGTGTCTGGGCCACGGGGCTGCATTCTTTGGCCATATCTCCCAGTCCGTGGAGAGTGCCCGCCTCCCCTGGCTTCTCAGACCACCCACCGTGTTTCTGTGACGTGTGGCCTGCGTGTCTGTCCCTCGGTCTTGTACGTTGTGCTTCCCGTGCCTGTCGGGAGCCTGTGGCCCACCTCCTGCCCTTTTCTGTGTCCACAAGAATGGCCTGGCCATTCTCCTTCTGTAACCCGATGGCTGTGACTGAATGCATAGATTCTCTACCTGTGCTTTTCTCTTCCTGTGGCTGCGTTACAAACAGGAGGTGGATGTGCTAAAGAGTACCTGTTACCATAGTAAGTACCGCCTGCTGCCTGGCCCTCTGCTGTTTAATCGGAATTTCCCTGTGCTTTGCCTCATTCCTCTGCTTCTTTGTTGCTTATTAATTTTTGTTTTTTGTTTATTCAAAATAAAAACAAAGGCCCTTCTTTCACCCAGTTCCTCCATTCTGGGCAGTGGCCTTTCTGGAAGGGGCTGGGTCCCCCTGAGCTGTGCGGTGGGCAGCCTGTCCTCGAGTCCCCCCAGGGCCGAGGTGGCACTGCTCCAAGCACTCCGGGTCTCAGAGGTTTCGGAAGGACCACGTGGTCCTGCTGAGCCTTCGAGACAAGTCTCAGCTAGACTCAGGCTGGGATTTTGCCACCTGCTGCACGGGGGTCGCATGTGTTTGGATCTCTGCTTAAACTGGGTGCTTAAGCTTAACTTGAGGGGGTGGAAGAGTGACATTTAGTGCTGTTTTCCCAATGTGACATTTGTCAGATGGTCAGAGTTCCCCTGAGCACCGACAGGCCACCTCTGCATGCTTCGCGGAGTGAGTCCTAACTGCTCCCGCCCAGTCCCGTGCAGCCGCGCCTCCGCAGCTCAGCCCAGCCTCTGGTCACCTCCGGACGTTTGGCTAGATTTCCAGGCACTGAAGGTTTGCTGTTGCCTAACCTGCCAGTGGCTGGTAACTTGCTGGACTATTTTTAAAAATCTACAAAACTGGTTTCCCCCAGGGTCAGTGTAGAAACCAGTCCTCGGGCTGTTTCTTTAAAGTAAGTTCCATTTGGTTCTTTTATGTTTCCATGTTCAAATTGTTAAGGGGGCTTGAATTTTTTGTCCCTTACCTTAGCGTTCATCTCTTTTTTAACTCTCCAGCCTAAAATGGCCTTTGTTTGGTGTTGATGTTGGTCTGGGAATCAGCTCCTAGTTTTCTACCAGCTGCCACAGCTTTACATAGTTGTCTCCTTGGGGGAGACCAGGTGTCGTGGATACAAATTGAGGCTTGATTTCAGGATTACTAACACATGTCCTTTAAAAGGGTTCAAGTGTTCAGACGTTGCAATACTGAAAATGTTTCCACTTGCCTTCGTCACCGTCTCTGTGACCGGGGACCGAAGCCCTGGGACTGTGTCTGGCTTTGTCAGCACGTTGTCCATGAGAAGGAGCTAAAAACCACCCTGAGGTTGAGCCCCTGTTTTGCACTGTAGGCTGCAGCCAGCCTGAGGCAGAGTAGATCCTGCTGACAGCTTCTCACTCTTGTTTGGTGCAGGGCGCTTGCCACCCCCCTTGGAGGTCCAGGCAGTCGCCCTCTAACCCCGCCTCTCCCACTCCCCCAGACCTGCCGCAGGAGCCGGCTTCCGGAGACAACAGCGATGCCGCCACCTTCACGCCGACTCTCCCTGACCTGTCCCCTGATGAGCCTTCAGAAGCGCTCTGCTTCCCGACACTGGAGGAGGAGGAGGAGGAAGAGGGGCTTTGTGAAGCCGGGGGCCCTCCAGGCCCCACCAGGTCCCCTGCAGCGGCCATCCCTGAGCCAGTCACAGCCCAGGCGGCTGACGAGGCCGCCGCCCCGGCTGCCGAGGAGGGGGCTGCTGTGGACCCTGGCAGTGATGGGTCTCCGGGCAAGTCCCCCTCCAAAAAGAAGAAGAAATTCCGCACTCCCTCCTTCCTGAAGAAGAGCAAGAAAAGGAGTGACTCCTGAAGGCCCTTCCTGCACAAACCGATGCCACCAGGCTGTCCCGATTGTGTCTCGTGCCCTGTCTTCTTGTGTAATGGAATGCAAAAGGCCCACCCCTGCGTAGCTAGCGCTCCCCTCGCGGCGTGACCGAATCCCCACGGAGACCGGTGCTAACCTTGTGCGCGCGCAGCGGCCCAGCCGGCAGCCTCAGGTGCTGCGGGAGACTTGGTCTCTGCGTCCACCTCCGAGCCCTGCCCTGCAGGGACCAGCACCTCGGCCCATCTCATGAGCCCTTCGGGGACACGCTGTCCCCAGGGGCTTAGCTAAGTCCGGGTTCTGGCTGGGTCGGGGGTGGCCCTGCCAGCTCTGGCCTCCACCGCTCTTGCTGTCCTTCTCTTGTGAAGTAATCCGCGGTCCACCTCTGCTAGGCTCCCTTCAGCCCGAGGTCTCGGGTGACTGCATCACACCTGTAGCTTCTTGCTGGCATTATCTGCTCAGTGATCTCATTTGTTCGGATACACAAAGCCTTGGTCCTGTGAGAACACTCGTGTCCCTGCCAATGGCCCAGGCCACCGTGGCAGACTTTTTGAGAGGTGGGTCTGGGCTGAGCCGGCAGTCCCAGCAGCGGACAGGCCTGTGTTCACCCAGGTAACCTATGCATGGTCTCACCGGCCCCCCGCGGCCAAAACCAGACTTGGGGCTCCGTTCCTTACTCACTGGGGGCTCTCGATTCCCTGTCATAGGGAAGGTGCATCAGGAGGGGAAGAGTGCTTTCTAGATGTTCTTTCGGAAAGTCTGCAGTTCACCCTACACGCTGTGAGCGAACGGTCTGCATTGTGCTTCGTTTTCTCCCCAGGGCCTGTGGCAGAGCACACCAGGGCTCCACGCGCTGTCCTGGGGGGTCTGCTCTTAACCGCGGCTCGGCTCGGCCTGGAGGGTACCCTCACTTTGACAGAAGGCAGTTCAGGGTAGGAGTTGGCCCCAGGGGTCCCACCTGACGCCCTGTGCAGTCACTGGCGGAGCCCACCTCCTGCCCTCCAGCACCACGGTGAATTTCACTGCACTCACCCTGGAAGATAGCGGCTAGCTGCTTAGTGGGAACTAGTGGGTGGCCAGGTGTCTCTTCGACAGTGACCTGTCCCAGGAGCTCCAGTGCCAGCCTGTCTCCCAGACAGGTCCCCAGGAGGGGGGAGGGGCCCTCGGGGGACCCAGTGCCCGACGTGGGCTCAGGTCCCACACACTCGACACCCAGGCAGGACCTGAAGCGGCTGCATGGCGCTGACCTCTGCTTCGAGCTTACTGGCAGGCAAGCCACTTCTCTCCTGTGTATCATTCCATTGCCAAGATGGTGGTAGAGCTCTCCACCCTCACCCTGCACCTCAGTTAACCATGGGCTCTTCCTTTTATCCCTTCTTCTGACCCCAGGTATGCAACGACTTTCATTTCATTTTTGTAGTTTAACTCTTTGTATTACAACATGAAGTTTAGCTGCATATACAGACACAGGCTTGGGAGAACCACCTCTACAGCCTTTCTTCATTGTAACATGTTTTACTCACAAATAAAATTCTTTAAGCAGTTTCCTTGTCTAAACTTGGGAAGCAGTCTTGCATCTTAATTCCTTTTCTTCGTTCCTTTAAAATAGGACTTCAGAAGTTTATCTTATGTTCTAAAAAAAGATCCCACGCAGTTTGTCACTTTGGACCATGGAGGACTCTCTACCTGGAAGTGCCCTGCCCCAGTGCCCGCTTGTTCTTCCACAGGACGCGGAGGGCAGGGTCCAGGCGAGGTGGTGGGGGGCCAAGCGGAAGGGTCGCTCCTCCCCAGTCTGCCAGGGTGCAGGACACCCCCCCCCCCCCGGTAAGCGCTGACCCCGGGGCGGGGGCAGGGGCGGCCCTTCATCTGCCTGTCCACCCCTCCCTACAGTGCAGAAGGGAGGGAAACGGGCCTGGGCAAAGCCTCGTGCTCTTCTGGACCGTGGAGCTGTAATGTGTGTTCAGCTCAAGCTGCTTCTCCTGGTGCCTGGGGGGTCTCCCTGCGCAGTGGGTGTGTTGAGGCAGAGCTGTGCACTGGAGAAAGGCACTGCGTATAAAACAGCTGCTTTATTTGGTCATTCAGAGGCCTGGCTGAATGCTGTGTGTCACTAAGTATAAAACACAAGTGAACAAAAAGCCTGGAAGGTTTCGGAGTCTGATCCCAGCAGGCAGGTCCACACAGGAGTGTCACAGGCACAAGCGCGAGTCCTGGGCCGCCCCGGGCTGGGGGGCGAGGAGGGAGGGGTCAGGCGGGCAGTGGGGAGCCGTCCTGGCCCAGGCCTCCCACTCCCTGCGTCGGCTGCCCCCCGCTCTGGGGTAGGCGTGGCTCAGCTACTCGGCCTTGAGCGTCGCTGCCGGAGGCCTCAGCTTCCGCAGGAGGGAGAAGGGGAGCAGGAACAGCCCCGCGCACACGGTGTAGCAGCCCTGCGCCCCGGCCAGCCAGTACGCTGTGGAGACATCAGGGGGTGATGGCGACGGTCCCCACCCAGGTCCCTGCCCACAGGACAGCGGGGCTGAGCCGGGGGTTCAGTAGCTGGGACTAAGGCGGCCAGCAGGGGCTGTGTGGCCTCTAGCTCGGGCCAGCAGCCCCCTGGCCTGGCGGGGGGGCCTCTCCAAGCGCCTAGCACGCCCCGAGTGCTGTCGCGCGGCCCTCACCTGAGGCGGCCACCATGGGCCCCAGAGCCCTGGCCAGGGCGCCCAAGCTCCGCAGCGTGCCCATGACCACGCCCTTCTGCCCGGGAGAGCCTGCGGGGGAAAGGGGAGAGGCCGTCAGGTGCTTGTGGGCCACCCAGGGTGATCTCAGGCAAGGGAAGGGCCTCTCACCATAGCTGGCGACCACAGAGGACAGGCAGGGCACCACGATGGCAGCGGCTGGTAGGGGACATCAGGGAGGCGCCCGTCAGCCTGGGGAAGGGGCCGACAGGGGTGCGACCCTCCAGGATTCCCGGCCGCCGGCCCCTGACCGCACCCCCGCCAGCCTGGGCAGGGCCACTCACCGAAGGAGTAGAGCAGCAGCCCCAGGCCCAGCACGGGCAGCGTGTGCCCCCAACCGATGAGAAGGAAGGCGGGGACGAGCAGCAGGATGGCCTGCAGGCGGCACAGCTGGTCTCAGGACCACCCCGCTGCCTCCGCAGAGCTCGGGGCGCCGCCTGCCCCCACGCCCAGGGAAGCCCCCGTACCCGCTTCACAGCTGCGATCTCCCCGCCAGGGCTGATCCGCCGGGCGTAGGCGCCCTGGATGGTGGCCATCGTGAGACCGATGAAGAAAAACATCTTTCCCTGCTCTAGGCTGGGAGGGGCGAGCCGTCAGCACCCCTTCCCTGCTGTGCCCGTGCTGCTCGCACGCAGAGCCAGGCAGCCTGGGTGACGGCCCGTGCGTCACCCGTCCTCGGCGCGAGGCACCGCCCGCCCCGGGATCCCGGGCTGGGCCCCGGGGGACAGCCCAAGGTGGGAGTCAGCCCTGAAGCAGCGAGGCTGCGGGGCCTCGGGATGGGGAGAGGGCAGGGCGTGCCCAGGCAGGGTCCTGGCAGGGGCCCCACACTCCCACCTGCTGAACTGGAAGCGCTGGTGCACGAGGAAGCTCAACGTGAACTCCAGGCCGGAGAACAGGAAGAGATAGAGGAAGTAGACCAGGCCCAGCAGGCGCAGGCTGCCCAGCCCTGCGGAGCAGCGGAAAGGCACTTCAGTGGAAAGGGGGCCCCGATGGCAGCTGGGGGGAACGCTGGGCAGCCCGAGGGAGCCACAGCCCCACCCTCACGAGGGGGGCCTGCTCCTTACTGACTCCGGTGGGCGGGTCCGGGCCACGTGCCACGGCTGAGAAGCAGAGCAGGGCCAAAGGGCTGAGCAGGTCAACAGCAGCTTGGAACCCCAGCGTGATGGACGGTGCCTGGAGGAGACAGGATTGAGGAGCCTGCGACGAGGCTGGTGGTGTCCCCAGGCCTCGCAGCCTTGGGGGGGGGGGGCGGGCTTGACCCGAACCTGCTTGGCCCCTGCCCCCTGCAAGGCCCCGGCAGGCCCGGCCCCCAGTCCACCTGCTGGGCTTTGGAGGTGTAGGGGGTCTGGGGAACGCAGGGGCCCCAGGAAGCGCTGTGGTCCCAAGAGCGTCTGGACACCAGAAGCGGGCAGCTCAGCCTCCCCAGCACCTGGGCCCATGACGGGCCTCCCCGCAGGCCCCGGAAGCGAGCCCCTGTGCCTGTCTGGCTCCACCTTACCCGCTTCTCCGGGGGCAGCGTCTCTGGCAAGAAGCAGCAGATGAACAGCAGATCGGAGACCGCGAAGAGCAGGGCCAACCAGGGCGCCGTCTCCACAGGCAGGGAGGCGCCGAGCATGGGGCCCAGCGTGAAGGCCAAAGAGAAGGCCACCCCGATGACTGCCTGGGGAGAAGACTGCCTGAGCCAGGCACTGAGACCCAGGCCCCGGAGTCCCTCCACCCACTAAGCCCCCCAGAGTGCACTCACCATGCCCCTGCTGCGGGCGGGAGATGAGCCCAGGTCGGCGACAATGGCGGTGGAGAGGCTGACGTTCCCCTTGCTGATGCCCCCAATCATCCTGGAGGCCAGGAAGGCTGCAAAGCTCTTCGAAGTGGCCCACACGGCATACGAGGTGGCCAGGCCTGCCTGCCTCAGGGCGGGGACCAAGGGCAGGCATGGTCACTGGAGACCAGAAGGAGCCCACAGCGGGGCCGGCGAGCCCGAGCAGTGCCCTGGGACCCTGCCCTGTTCTGCAGCATCCAAGGGCCACCTGTGTTCCCAACGTCCCCGTGGCAGGAGCAGCTCTGGCACAGCCTCGCTTAGCCACAGAAACCACTGCCCCCCCCCCAAACACCACCCCCAGGGGGCAACGAGGGGCCCTGCTGGTGGGCGGGAAGAAGCTCCCGTCTGTGGGCACCCGTACCAGGGACAGCAGCATCACCGGGCGCCTCCCCAAGCAGTCAGAGGCGGCCCCCGTGAGAGGCGCTGAGAGGAACTGCAGGAAGGAGAAGATGGAGCCAATCAGACCTAGAAGACACAGAGATCACAGTCACCACACTGCCCAGTCCCCAAGAGTCGGACCATGCTGGGCCCTGCACCCCCAGGCCATGGACCTTGAGCTGAGACGGCCCCAAAACCGCCCACCTGGAGAAAGAACAGACAGTACCCAGAAACGAGAATACGAGGACCAGAACCTGGGACTGAGGAGGGAGGGACCAGGAAGGCAGGACCTGAATGGGCCCCCAGCCCCGGCTCCAGAACCGTACCTCCGAACAGGACGCTGTTGTACCTCCTCTCGGCTGGCATCCCAATAGCTGCAGCAAACCAGTCCACCCCGCGCTGCCACGAGCCGTAAAGAGGATCCTAGGGCACAAGGAAGTGTGACGGGCGGGGGAGTCCCTGAGGGGCTTGGAGCAATGGACAGCCATCGGGGGTGAAGCGGCATCGGGACCGGGGGTGCTCACCTGCGCACGGCCGTGGCTCTCCAGCAGCGCAGGCAGCAGGGGCAGCAGCAAGGTGAAGGCCAGGAGGTCCAGCAGGAGGCCGAGGAACACCACAGCGACCACTCGGGTTTCGGGTGCCGGCTGCTGGTGGATGGGCGGGCGCGGGGTACAGCTCCCGCCGGCTCCCCAGCCCATGATGGGGGCCGCTCCGATCCGGCCTGGCTGAGCGTGTGGCGGTTCTGCAAGACGGCACGTCGCACGAGGGCACGTTTGGGTACCCCAGCCTCACACCCACCTACCTGGGGGGGAAACAGACCCCAGCTCCCGCCGTGCCCCAAACCCGCGAAGAGCCAGCGAGCGCCTAAAGGGTCTGGCTGCCCCGTGACCCAACACAGTAGTCCCTCTGTGCACCCTTCCCCCGACGCTGGGCAGCAGGAAATGCAGGCTGCGGGCGTTACGCAAAGAAGCCGCAGCCCCGGAGGCCAACCGTCCCAGGGGCCGGGGTGGGGCATCGCTGCCCCGGTACCTCCCCGCCCCCGCCGCCACCCCACGGTCCCGGGCGGAGCGGCCGGGGAAACTGAGGCCCGGGCGGGAGGCGGGGGCGGCCCCGCGAGCCGGAGAACAAGACACCCGCCCATCCCTGGTCGCGCGCCCCGTCCCGTCCCGCACCTGCGGGGTCGGCGCTCCGCACAAACGGACGGACGGAAGGAAGCGGAATGGACCGGCGGAGGGACGGCGCACGCCGACCACGCCACGCCCGCCCGGAAGTGGGCGTGTCTCCCAGTCGGAAGTGGGCGGCCCTGCGCGCCCTCTTCCGGCCGCTGGGCGGGGCCTCGTCCGGTCCTGCAAGGCCGCGCGACTCGGCCCGATATCGGGTCTGGCAGCGGCTTACCGGCGGGAAGGGATCTAACCGGAGGCGCCTGACAGGCCACAGTCCCATTTGCCCCCGGACACTGCGCCCGAGTGACGACCCGCCCGCTGAGGACCTCGGGGTTTTGGGCGCTCCGTCCGGAGGGCCGTTGGGCGGGGTCCACCCTGACCGGACCCTCCTCGCATCGTCCACTCCCGTCCAAAATACGCCCGCAGATACGCGGCATCTGCGCGGGGGCGCGGGGGCGCGGGTTCGCCCACCCTGGGGCCTCGGCCGGGCCGGCGAGGAGGAGGGGGCGTGAGGTCAGGACTTTCCGGTGCCTCGCCTGCCCCGGGGTCAGCGGGGAGGAGCAGGTGCCCCCAGGGCGCGCTCGGTCCTGGGCCCGCGCTGGGGGAGACCCCACGGCAGCTGGAGGTTCTGGACTTCCGGACCTGCCAGCACCTCCTGCTTCCCTTCCGTCCCTTGGAATTCAGGCGTCTATGGCCGAACTATCCGGGAGGACAGTCCACCCCGTCAGCTCAGCACTCATGCACCTCTCCGAAAACGACACTAAATTTCAAACATCCAAGCAGTCACACTTTGCCTAACATATAATTGTTCCCCCTACGACCAAAGAGAACACGTGTTAGCTCTCCCTGAGGACACGCGTTCCTTTATGGAGGCTCAGGGGATGCTCGCCTCTTCCACCTGAGCCGTGCTACCCCCGCTTAGAAGCCTTCACATGACACAGCGGAGGTAAGAGCTGGTGGGCGCGCGGCAGAGGGGAGGAAGAGCTGGGCAATATGTCGGCAAACGTACTCACATGGAAACACTCTGGCTTCATAACCCCCTTCTTGCACGACTCCTTCTACACACGCCCCTTTGCAAGGAGTAGGAGGCAGGGCTGGGACGGGCCATCCACATGGATACTGACATTTCCAAGGACTGTGCCTGCAGTGGAGTGGAGAGGCCAGGGTGGGCAGAGGTGGGTGTGCTCGGGCGACCCAGGACCCAAAGCTGGGGCTTTATCAGCTTGTTGCTGGCACGTTCCACCGCCACAGAACTCAGCAGCAGGCCCCCCCGTGATCAGCGGCTTGGCGAATTTAAGTAGCAACAGCTGCAGGAGGGTTTACGTGTGGGTGGAGTCTTGAGTCTGCACGATGTTAACAGCAGGCTAGGCCTACACAGCGAGGTGAAGCCAGCCCCGTTTGTGGCCCCGACACCTGCCAGGGCCTTCGAGATCTGTGGAGCCACGCACCTGGCAAACACCTATCTCTGAACAATCCTAGAAAGAAGGTAAAGATGCAGAAATCTCATCCAACGTGGCCTCATCTGTCCCTTACGCCTGCCACCAGGGGGCGCTCTGGCCCTGTCCCTCTGCCCTTCTGAGCCCCAACACGGCCTAACAGCGCCCCAAATCAAACTCCCGATTCTCCCCACCAGCCTCCCTGTTGGGGGAGCCAGAATCAGTCACCCTCTTCCCACATGTCCAGTCTGGCTAATCCTCCAATCTCTCCATGGTCACTTCTGTGGCTGTGATCTCAGGGATGGGCTTCATTTTCTAAAATTTATTTCTGGCTCTGTTGGCTCTTCGTTGCTGCGCGGGCTTTCTCTAGTTGCGGCGAGCGGAGGCTACTCCTTGTTGCAGTGCATGCGCTTCTCATTGCCGTGGCTTCTCTTGTTGCGGAGCACGGGCTCTAGGCGCGCAGGCTTCAGTAGTTGTGGCTTGTGGGTTCTAGAGTGCAGGCTCAGTAGTTGTGGCGCACGGGCTTAGTTGCTCCACGGCATGTGGGATCCTCCCGGACCAGGGCTCGAACCCGTGTCCCCTGCATTGGCAGGCGGATTCTTAACCACTGCGCCTCCAGGGAAGTCCCAAGGATGGGTTCTTGATGTGTTAGGGCCACCCGGCAGGGCTGCCAGCTGACGGTGAGGCCTCTGCCACGTGCCGCATGGTCACCTGGGGTGTGAGGACCAGTGCCTCACTCTCGGAGACTGGGGGCAGGGCACGGGGGCTGGGGGACCTGCCCACCTCTGCACCTGCACAGGGAGGCAGCATTCTGTGCAAGGCCGTAGCCCCCCAGGGCCGCAAGGGCGGGCAGGTGGCTCCTGTGTCCTTATGAAGCCTCCTGGGTCAATGCAGATGCAGCCCAACCCCTCCTGCCTTCACAGCGGCCTGGCACTCCAAAGCATTAATCAAGACTGGGTATGGATTGGGGCAAAGCCGATCATGGCTGCTGGGGTGCCGGGATTACGGGTGATTTCTTTCTTTTCTGATTTCTAAACTATGTGCAAACTTGTTTCACTGATGACTGAAAATTTATGTAACATTAAGTAACACTGAATTATACACCTCAAGGCAAATATGCTTGGTTGACCAAAAACATTAGCCTGAATCCCATCAGTCCCAAGCCTTGTGATTAACTGAGGACTGTCTGGAAGTGAGGAATAGAGGTGATTCACAGTTTATCGGCATGTAGCTCCCACAGAGGCTTGGCCGTGTTCCAAAAGTGCAATACGTCAGGAGAGGCGTTTTAACATGAAGCGAAGTACAGGAAAGTAACTCTTGACGTTACAGCACCCCTTACGGCATTCATTACATAGCATCTCCTTGTCTGATTTATAAAACATAATTTATTTTTTGAACTTCTTCCTCTTCAGAGCCTTCCATTCACCTTCCTGTGTGGCCAGGCTGTTAAAAAGCTGCTTCACTTTTCGTTTTCTTTCCGCGTCCCTTTAAAAAAAAAAAAAAAGCCCATTTTTGGATACTTTTTGGAGGACATCTTACCCTTTTTCCTATCTGACCCAATAGCAGTTCACATCTGCGTGGGGCCTGCAACTCCGCCCAGGACAGAGGACAAGTGAGGGGAGCAGGCCCCCTGGCCCGCCCTCACCCCGGCCCAGCACCCACACCAGCACCTGCCAGACCCCGTCGCCCCTCACCGTTCCATGATCTCTGAGAGCTGCATCCGAGCCAGGAACTGGTTGTCCTTGCGGATCTCCCGGACGGCACCTTTAAATTCTCGCTTGTGCTTATGGATCAGTCTCTTCCTTTCCTGCTCCTCCTTTGTGCAGCCCTGCTTCTTCCCAAACTCGAGGCTGAAGGTGCAAAGCCAGCCTTGAGGGCGCAGGGTCTGCGCACCCAGAGCCTGCCAGGCCTCCAGTCAAGGCCGCCCCCAGCCACAGCCCCGGACTCCCAGGCCCCTCTGGGGCTGGGGTGCTGGGGGGGCCTCCGTACTCACACTTTGACCAGCCGGGGGGTGAACAGTTTCAGCGGCACCGGCTTGCTCTTCTCACAGACCAGCGGTCGATAGTGCTTCGGCTGCTTTTCCATTTCCGTCAAAATGCTCCGACTCAGCTCCTGACACGTGAGAAAAGCTGACACCGCCTGGCCTGCCCACCGTGGCCTCCGGAGCTCCTCCCTCCGGGCCGCCCCTTCCCCTGAGCCCGGCGGCTGCAGGTGCAGAGCCACTGTGCCCAGAAGGCCCGGCTCTCACGAAGCTTCCACCTTCCTGCAGCGTCCTCGTGGCATCTGGCCTGGTGGGACTTCAGACCTACAGACCCATCGAGCAACAGAACGGTCTCTCCCAGAGGAACGTGGGGAGCACACGATGGGGACCAGCCCATTTGTACAGAGGGGAGCCCCCAGGCCAAAAGGCAGGCGCTCCTCATGGCTTCCTGTCGCCTGGTGCAGGGCAGTCGGACCATCCTCAGAACCCGAGTGACCTGGGAGGGGCGCGGGGCCTGGAGCCGCTGCCCAGGCTGATGCGGGCGGCCGGCCTTGATTCCTAGCGCCGGAACCCCCGTGACAGAAACGCCCACCAGCCTGCCCCAACTCCGGGACACGGCCCCGCCAGGGGAGGCCTCACCTGGAGCTCGGGCGGGCAGCTGCGGGCTGCCAGGTGCTCCATCAGGAGGGCTCGCAGGGGCTGCACGATGTCGTGGAAGGAGGGCAGGGCGCCATAGACGGTCACACAGCGCTGCACCAGAGCCAGACACACGGCCAGGCAGGACAGCCTGCATGGGTGACACCCGGCCTCAGGCGAACAGGAAGGAAGGGCCCCTCCCCGTCACCAACAAAGCCCATCATCTTGGCAAAGATGAAAACCTTCCACTCGTGGGCCTGGGCCGCAGGACCCTGAGGTCAAACATCTGCCCTGGGCAACGGCTGCGGCCCGATGGCTGATGGGATCAGGAGTTAAAGAAAACATCCTGCTTCCCTGAATAGGAAAGAACGTTGCGGGAAATGCAGCAACAACTTGGAAAGAGTACTCGGTGTTTTTTGTTTTTTAAACAGAAGAAAAAGTTTAGTAACACATATACATTTCTTGGGAGAGACCCAAGAAAACTGACTCACTCACTACAATGGCTGGAGCCCTCATCTTAAATAAACCCCGTTGTAGTTTTTAAATTACTAAAACTATTTCCAATATCAAGCAGATATACTTTGAAAATAACATTCTGGGAAAGTTAGGTTTTCATGGAAAAAAATGGCCATCAGGATGTGAACAGACATTTCTCCAAAGATTATGAATGTACAACAAGCACATGGAAAGATGTTCATTACTAATCATTAGGAAAATCAAGGCAGAATCGTAATGAGATACCGCCTCATACCCATGAGGATGGCTACCATCAAAAATCCAGAAATTACTAAGTGTTGACAAGGATGTGAAGAAATTGGAACCCTCATATGCTGTTGGTGGGAATGTAAAATGGTACAGCTGTGGTGGAAAACAGCATGGAGGTTCCTCAAAAAATTAGAAATGAAACTGTCATCTGACCCAGCAATTCCATCTCTGGGTATAAACCCAGAAGAACTGAAAGCAGCAACTGGAATAGATACTTGTACCCCCATGTCCACAGCAGCCTTATTCAGAATAACCAAAAAGTGGGAGCGACCCAAGTGTCCACTGATGGATGAATGAATAAACAAAATGTGGTCCATCCACACAATGGAGTATGGTTCAGCCTTAAAAAGGAAGGAAATTCTGATACCTGCTAAACATGGATGAACATTGAGGACACTACACTCAGTGAAATAAAATAAGTCACAAAAGGACAAATCCTGTGATCCCACTTATATGAGACGCAGCAGAGGAGTCAAAGCCACAGACAGGAGGAGGATGGTGGGGCTTGTGGTGTGGCGTGGGATCAGTGTTTAATGGGGACAGTTTCAGTTTGGGAAGATGAGTAAGTTCTGGAGATGGAGGGTGGTGACGGTTCCTTAACAGTGTAAAGGTACTTAAGATGCCACCGAACCATACATTTAAAAATGGTTAAGATGGTAAATGTTATCTGCATTTTAACACAATAAATGTCAACAAAAAAATTCAAATAACCATAATTTTTTTAAAAATCAGAGAATGGAAGGACTTAGGAGAAAAAGTCCTAGTCCCCTCCTCATTCTACTTCTACAGACTGAAGGATGTGACCTCACAAAATCCCCTTGTTGAAACTGAACCCCTAACGTGGTGGTATTTGGAGGTGATTATGTCTCCCAGTCCAGGAACACAGACGTGTTTCCATTCATTCACGTCTTTGTTAAGTACTTTCAACAAATGTTTTGTAGTTTCCATCGTACTAGTCTTCCACCTCCCTGGATAAGCTAATTCTTAAGTAATTTTATTCCTTTTGATGCTATTGTAGATGGAATTGTTTTTGCAATTTCCTTTCAGACTGTTCATTGTTTGTGTGTAGAAATACAACTGACTTTTGTACGTTGACTCTGTATCCTGCTACTTTGCTGAATTCACTTATCAGATCCAATAGCTCTTCTGTGGAACCTTTAGGATTTTCCACATATAAAATCATTTCATCTGTTAACAGAGATAACATGGGTGCATCTTCAAGGCTGGGTGCTGGGTCACGTCTGGCTTGCAGCCTGGCCTCTCGGAGGTCTAAGCTGGCACCACGGCCCGGAGCCCCAGGCCCGCACGTACCTGGTGTGGTTGGCCTCTGTCTCAGTCTGGGCTTTCAGTCTTCCTGCCCACTGGAGGGGGAGGCTTCTCCTGTGCCACGTGGTCGTGGCCTCCTCGTCAGAAACCAAGAGCAACTCCGAGTTCTTCCCAAGTGCTCTGAAAGGGTGCACCAGAGTGTAACCTGGATTCCAAGTGGGACAGGGACAGAGTCGGCCTCTGAGGCTACCGGGCTCGCAGGGCAGGCTCTGCAGGGTGAAGCCTTTGGAAGTTCATTCTAACAAATACGTGCTGTGCTTACCACCAGAGACAAGCGACAGCTTTGACAGGGGTGTGTGGGCCAAGTCCAAGCTCAGACCAGGCCCCTGCCCTCGTGGGCAGACTAGACTGAGTATCAGTAAGAAACGACGGACAAAGGAAAAGCAGAGGAGGGTGAGGCGGGTTTGTCAGGAGAGCTGGGGCGGTGTGGGGCAGGGTGCAGAGCTCACCAGGCCAGAGAAGGCCTGCTCCAGAGACCCGGGGAGCGAGCAGGACTTAAGCCCTCCGTCACTCAGAGGAGCAGTCGAAGCAGACGGAAAGGACTGCCGGGGAGGGCGCCAGGCCGAGTGCGGTCCAGGCACGGCAGAGTGGGCGGTGGCTGGGCATAGGGTGGGGGGCATACGGGCGACAGCCAGTCCGCTGACCAGTCCCGACTCC